CCCGGGGCACGGGGCACGGGGCAGCACTGCGCCTTGCAGGTCGAGCTCGGCCTTTGCCCCGGCGCAGGATGCGGCTGCGAGCTACGTCTGCTACTTCCCGCTCTCCGGTCCAGGCTGCCCGGCATTGGTGCTCGGATGGAGGGGATGCAGCCTCTTCCTCTCCTGCTCCCAGTTCGGGCTTAAATGCGCCTCTTGTTGACGCGCACCAAGTCTCTTTCCCTTTAGATGACAGCCAAGTGACGTGCTCTCTTAATTACATCTAAGAAGAGTAATCGATGGGTTCTATTTATATAAGAGTCAGATTATATCGATAGGGTCATTTCAGTATACGACCGGGCCCCGGCCCCCCGCCCGGGGGCGGCGGGAAAACCCAACAGATGCTTGCGGTGCCTTTTTTTGTTACTGCAAAAACATTCGCGGAAACGTTTCCTCTCCGTTTTTTTTTTTTTCTTAGAAAATGATGCTAACAGGTTTTTCACCTGTTGCATAAATCTTTGTTTGAGCTTTCTGGAGAAGACTTACGAGGAAGATGGGGAAATTTTAGAAGAATATTTGAAACATTCAAATGCCAAAAGAATTTTTAACCATATTTAGAATATCATTATTTATGAGGACTATCACTGATTTATTGGTTGAATTATGCAAACAAAATTTCTGTTGGTTTTTTTTCTTTGCTTTGAAATTTTGTTAAAGAGCGAATCATCAAGTGCGTATGCCTTTTTTCTTGCCTTGATGTGTAGGCGTATACTCCATGTTTTTCAAAGGAGGGAGGGAACGTAATCCCGTTAATTTTTCTGCGTAGTCTCTCTTGGAGGCTCCTATAAAGCTTCTTCGAATGGGGAAGTCTTAAAATAATGGTATAATGACATCTAATATCATGTATGATAATTTTTAAAATCAAAAAATTATTTTACAAAATAATAAACACAAAATTCAGAGATGTTTCATTAAACCTAACCTTAAATTTTGGTGATACTATTAATTAAATATGAGTTACTAATTCTATGTTTTTCTGTAGTATACCTTAACATTAAAAGATGATTATTTCTGTAATATATTTGCTGCGTTATCATTAAATATTAGTGTTTATTCAGTTGTGCCTCAAAATATAAAATAATACTAGATAATATATTTAATTAATCATGTATTTTCTTTTTTAGTTATTTATTTGTTAACTGGACATAAAGAATTACCGAGCACCTGCAATGAAATGTGTGATTTTTTTTTTCTTGCAATTTCCTTTTTCTCCTTTCAACAAGTAGGTGCCATTTTAAGATGTTGGGCATTAAAATAGACAAGGCCTAGTGAAATTAATACCTTACTCAAAGCCATTTATCAGTAAATCACAGAATGGTACTAGAATTATTGTTAACCGCTTTTTTTTTTCGACTGAGGCACAGAGCTGGCCCCTCCAGAGGCTAGCAGTGTAGTGTGTGTGTGTGTGTGTGTGTGTGTGTGTGTGTGTGTGTTGGAGGTGTGCTACAGAACAGAACATTTTACACAGATGAAAGTGGAGAATTTTGGGGTGCTGGTATCAAATTCAGGATCTTGCAGGTGTGTAACAGGCTTCCACCATTGAGCTTCCCCTCAGCTTCCCCTCCCCACGGCAGCCAAAGAAAGTCAAAGCCTTTCAAGATGGTTTTGTCCTTCCGAGGTAGAAGAAAATTCTAGAAAGAATTTATCTACATGCCTCTCCCATTGTTTACGTCTGTGGCGGTCAGCTTTCTGTAAACAGCTGTGGCACCTGTGGCTTCCTGATTGTAAACCTAGTAGGCATCCTTCAAAATTTGTAGCATCTTTTGACATCTCACAGTACAGATTATTTTCTCTCTGTAACATTCCCTTTTCTCAGTTTTTTTAAAAAAACATTCTCCTCGAATTCTTTTTATTTTGTGGGGTCCAGAGTTAAACCCCTTGGCATTTTATGTTACTGAAAATATCATATATATATAGGTAATGCCCAAATCTGCAGCCTCTGCTGGCTTAATACATTCTACTGCTTACTAAACATAACATTATGCTATTATTTTATTAAACAGTGTCATGATGGCTGTTCTTACTGCTATATATGCAGATACTTGAAAGCTTGCTACGTGACTAATATTGTACCAAGTGTGTTGCTTGTATATTCTGATTTATTCTTTATAAAACCTTATGAATGATTTACTTTTATTCCCTTGAAAAGTTTGGAAATTGAGGTCCACAGATATTAGTCTTCTGACAGATAAAACTAGGATTTGATCCCAGGAGTCTGAGAACTGTTTTGATGCTTGGGGTTGTTTGGTACTCCTCAGCTGCTCAGTCAGTGTGCCTCACACTGGGTTGTGTTCCCATAAGAATTTCCTATTGTACGTGTACCTACTATTTATTGGTACTTGTTTAATGCACTGTGGTAAGTCATTTAACTGCTAGAATAACCCATAGAACCGTGAGTAAGCACTGTCAGGTAAAGTTTACAAATAAGGAGGTGAAGGAATGTCTAATGCCACACAGGTAGCCATGGAAACATAATACTAGGAGTTGGGTTTAAAGCTATTCTGTTATAGTAATTGCATTATATTATAGCTAATACTATTGTCCTGCTTATTCTAGTTCTAGAGACACAGAAGAAACTATCCTTGATTCTCTTACCTCTTTACTAGTTATGGAGTGTTCCTAAAATATTAAAAACGTTCTCTTCAAGGGCAAAGGTGTGACCAAAGGTCTGATCACACTGGCCTTGCAGCCTGTGTCTCTGTAGTTTGGCGTGGATTAGAAAGTAGATGACAAGAGGAGTGCTGAGGGTAAGTGACCGCTGAGTGCTCGGCTCTAATTAGAACACTGGTACCTCCACCACCGCCCCCCACAGACTCAGGGCGCAGCAGAGGAGTGTGGGAAAAAATGTAATAACTGGAGGGACAGAGGAGTGTGGGAAAAAATGTAATAACTGGAGGGTGGCTGGTTTGTGCTGCGGAATGATGTCTTCCGGACGTGAGATAACTTAAATCCATGAGCTCGCTGCTCCTGTGGTTAACCTGTATAAGGGCAGACCCCTCAACATTTCCTCGTGAACAGCACCCACCCAACTGCGTTAGGGACAATTGGCAGAATATGGTTACTGGGCACGAGAGTGGCATTTTCTTCAGCAGTGTAGTCACTTATAAGTTACCCAAGCTCCAGTAAATAATTGTCATTCTTGCTTATACAATCAACCTTACTTCAATTCAGTGAGTCCCACACAGAGACCTGAAAATTGGAGGGGACTTAGTAGGGAGAAGGGTTTCAGTGGGGGAGGGGGATGGCAAGTGAGAGAACGAAATGGCACTGAGAAAAACTAAATTCATTATCTGTTTACCTGTCTATCTCATCTATCTGTATATGAAACTGTCAAAAACTAAGATTTTTTTTAAAAGCAAAGTAGGTGACCAGGTTTATTAGGTCTGTATCTGCTTAAAGAATAAACACCACCTTTTATCAGCAAAATATAGTGGTTTTCACTGCATGTGTTAAGTAGATTCATTTATATAATCATTCTTTTCTTTTTAGTATTCTCTTTCTCTCCCAAGGAACAAGGATGAGGATGCCTGGGAAACCTGGAACATTAATAAAGCCTGAGTCGGTACAAAATATGTTTCTGTTTTTCATTTTCTTTCCTCTCTCCTTCCCTCATTTTCTAATATTACCTCCAGTTTTATTCTTGAAAATAGAAACGTTGTATTCTGCTGAAGGAATTGGTATTTTCATTGCAGATACTTGTCCTCATTCTTAAATAAAACGGGCAGTTTGAGAATATATGTGCTGAGTTATCCATGGATTCAATAGCTTTGACACAAAACACATAAGGTATTCATTAGAGAAAAATGGTACAAATGCTTGTACTAAGCTTTTCTGTTGTCACATAACTTTTAGTGGCATACACAGGCATACTTAAAATCATTATCCATAAATGCTACTCTGCTGGTTAACTTTTGTCAATTTGATACAAACTGGACACCTGGAAAGAAATAGCATTGAGGAATTGCCCCATTGGGTCGTCCTGTGGACATAGCTGTTGGACATTTCTTGATCAATGAGTGATATGGGAAGGCCCAGCTCACTGTGGGTGGTTCTGAGTTATATTTGAAAGCAAGTTGAGCAAGCAATGGAGAACAAGCCAGTAAGCAGTATTCCTCTATGATCTCTGCTTCAGACCCCACCTCTAGGTTCCTGTCTTGATATCCTGCTCTGATTTTCCTTCACGATGGACCATGATGTGCAAATGTAAGCCAAATCCACCCTTTCCTCCTCCAGGTTGACTTGTTCAGTGTTTTATCACGGCAAGCAGGGCATCTTTCCTGAAGCTTATGTCTCCTAATGTGTAATAAGTGTGTCCTCTTGACAGGTTGATTCCTTCAAAGCTTGTTAAGGCATTCCTTATTAAAATAGTTTTAGAAGTTTAACATACAAAGGGACATGTTTGCTGCTTTTCTCAATTTTTTTTGTGTGTGAAAATAGTTTATTCAAATATAATGCAGCTTGCTTGACCTGATATCAGGATCCTAAACTAATTCAAATGTCCTGCAGCCCTTCATGGAAGATTGGTATAAGAGAACAGAACTTTAGAATAAACCTGATGGTGTAGTGAATACACTGTAGCACAATCTCAAAAGCAAGATGGTCTGTGATTTTCTATTTGGATGTTCTGTATTACAAATTAGCCATCTGTTTCTGTAGAATTCTGACTGAGTCAACAGTTAACCCTGTTTACCAGCTCTGACATAAAGCTGGTAGATGTCTACTGGTAAGACATTGATGAAATCTACAAAATTCATGTTTTATGCATTCAGTTTTAAATTTGGTTTAATTTAAGAAATTCTATAGCAGAAAAAGTAAATGTAATTAGTCAAATAATATTTAGAGATAGAAATACTTATTTTAAGTTTGGTTTCTGCTCTGGCTAACTATTTAACCCTGTCAATAAAGCATGAAAGTAGCCCAAAAATTCTTAATGCAGTGAGCATGTCTGTTTTCCATAAATCTGTTCATCCCACATCTATTCCTCCGTTTTTCTTTTTCTTTGTTTTTGTTAAGGCAGGGTCGCCAGAACCTTGACTGGCCTGGAAATCACTATATACACTTTGCTACCCTTAAATTTGTGAAAATTCTTCTTCCTCTCTGTCTGAACACACATAAGGCATATGTCCATATGCAGACACACATACATATACATAAATAAAAACAGATCTTAGAAAAAAAGAAAAACTATTTATCAACTACTTCCTCTGCACCAGACTTCATGTTAGTGGCATGAATATAATATAGGGATCTAAGATATATAGTACAGTGGGCAAGACAATGTGTTTCTGCAGGCAGCCACGTAATCGTCTGTATTCCAGATGGGTTACGTACTCTGGGAGAAAAGGACTTCTGGTAAGTGAGAAGCAGAAAACACAGTTGAGGTTTTTAGGTGCAGTTTTTAAATAAGAAGCTTCACCCAGTCGGCTGAAAAATTGAATGAAACTTGTACCAATAAGAGCAGATTTATTCCCATGAGAGAGGTTTATTTTGCCTGAACTTTAAAAGGAAATATAACTGGGGTATCAGTATCTAAGTGAACATTGGTCTTGATCTGAGTTAGAATGTCTAGAACCCTATGACATATGTGAAGGACTTGTTTTATCCCAAGTGAATGAGAAATCTGTGGTATTTTAAGCAGGGAATAATGTGGTTTGATTTGTTTTTAAAGAAATAGTATGTGTTCAGTGCTGACTAGAAATTAAGCAAATGCTAGTTATTTCTCATGCAGAATGACCTCTGGAGGAAAACAAAATTTAGAAAGGTTAAATAACCTGTCTAAGGTCACATGACTAATGGAGGGAGGTGCTAGTGTGCCTCAGATGTTATTTTAGCAAAGGAGGATTTATGAGAAAGTCTCCAATACCAGGAAGAATTGTGTCACCAAAATATTTTAAAAATCACTTGAAGAAAGGGGGACTGCTAAATTGTTTTAATAAAACCAGGGAACTCAAACAGGACTATATCCTTAACATGATATTAGTACACATTTGTATAGTAAGAGTAGTCTGGAAAATTACTGTCTCTTCATTTATATTTGAGAGCATAGTTAAAACTGAAGTTGGATTTGAAGAATTACTTAAAGTATCAAACTGTCTAATAGGTAAAAGAAAAAAACAAAAACCCTAAAAATCTAAAGAAAATACTTGATAAATCTGGAGAAGACATCACAGTGAGTATTGTTCACTTGGTTATTATATGTAAACATCTGCATCAAAGTATAGCTCTTTACTAAAGTTACAAAGTTTAGAACTGAGGTCAGTAAGTCTGTCATGATAAATAGCATAGTAAAAGTACACATTAGGACCACATCATCCTTAAAGTATTTGGGTCACTTTGACTGTTGCCGTCTACCAAAACAACACACCAGTAAAGTGTGTACGCTGTACATTGTTGAGGAAAATGCTTTTACTCAGAATTTTGAAGAGCATAGAGTAATGTTTTATATCAGATGTTCAGTGGATTGCCTTTACTAGGATTTCTTCTGTAATGTCCTACCCTGTAGAACAAGAAGAAATGATTCTTAAGGGATGATTATCTTTTCATGTTGGAGACACACTTTAAACTGAGGAATTTAGCTTATTTTGAGGGAAACTCAAAACAAGAATAAATAAATCAGTAACTATGGTTTGATTCCTTTAATATTATAAAGAATTTGTACTTACACTCATAGTAAGTGCACTGTTCAGTATTCATACTACGTCAGTATTTCAGTTCTGTTTTTTATTATGATCTCTAGTGTTTACACACACAGAAACATACATGCATGTGCATACACACACCACCATCACCACCAAAAAAAAAAAAAACGAAAATCAAACCAAAAAAACATGCAAAAGATCTTACATATCATAGCAAATGGTACCTTTTTTAACAGAAATTTAATCGTCAGTTATAGGTTTGTTTTGTTTTACTCCTTTCTGTTTGTATGTCACTAAAAACATGCTATGTTAGTGTTCTATTGTTTTACATGTGTGCACATGTACACTGAGTTTTTCATTTGGGCCTTAAATGTTAATTAAGCAAGTCCTTTACCACAGCTAATCTCTCTCTTTCTCTCCACACACACACCCTTGGCCCTTTTCAAAATCTCCATAACTGGGATTTCAGGCCTTTGCCACTAGGGTGGTGATGGTGCACACCTTTAATCCCAGCACTTGGGAGGCAGAGGCAGGTGGATCTCTGTGAGTTTGAGGCCAGCCTGGTCTACAAGAACTAGTTCCAGGACAGGATCCAAAAGCTACAGAGAAACCCTGTCTCGAAAAACAACAACAACAAAAATCTCCATAACTGGGATGTTAGACCTTTGCTACTAGGTCTGCCTTTAACCTAATAGTTTTTAAAGATCAAGCAAAACAACCTATATGCAAGAAAGAAAATGTCATGTAACTATGATTTTTACCCGTGAGGGTAGTTAGTGTTTATTTCATACTAGAATTTGGAACAACTAAGCAACATAGATCTTATTTTAAAAAGAGTTTGTTGTACCTTATAAGCTATCAGAATTCAGGTTATATTTGTTTTTTAAGGGAAGGAAACTAATGTAAGAAATGTAGAAGTCAAAAGTTAATATCTTGAGTGTTTGCACATAAGTATCAATAATCCCAGCATGTATCTGCAGAGAGAAGGAAGGTAGAAAATGTGGAATTTTGAGTATCCCAGGCCAGCTAACCTGGCTTATGCAGCAGTGAAGAAGGACTCTGTCTCAGAGAAGCTGAAAGACTAGGATTGACAAAGGAAGGATGCCCTCTGACCCTCACACAAACTGTGTCATCTGTGTGCCTGTACCTACCCGTACAAGCAAGTGTTAATTTTCTTGCACATGTGTGCATGGGCACGTGCACACACACACACACACAAATTTGCTTTTTTACAGATCATATATGTATAAATTTCACAACCAAACAAAATAGCCACAAAGTTTAAAAATGAAAGTGGAAAAATACAGATGATGAAGTTGTGTAAAGAAACTGGGCGCTTTCTCACATGAAAATATCTTGAAAGAATAAGAAATCAGGAGAGATGGAGAAAGAGGAACTCTAGACCTCACTGGAGAGCCAGTCCAGCTTTATCATTCATTGAGCTCCAGGCCAATGAGAGACACTGTCTCAAAGGAAGTGAATCGTATTCTTCATGATGACATTGACAGTTGACCTCTGGTCTTCACACACACAAGTAACTGTACATACGTGTGTATTTACCCTCAATGTATACACACACAGGCATTCACAAAATGTGATGTGACATTATCTGTAGATGGTGATAAGTTAGCCTTATTTTATAAAATGTGAAGTAATTGCTTAAAAGGTTATCTAAAAGTCAATGATGGTATGGAGAAATATAGAAAAATAATGGAACAAGAAAAAGAACAAACAGAAGTAAATAGAAGAAAATATGTTTGAACTCTGGCATATCAAGAATCCCATGATTTATAATGAAAGTCAACTCAAAAGAATTCAAGAAGTGGAGAAGTAGAGACTGACAGATAAGAAAGTTACAAGTATACATTGACTATAAAAACAGGTTAAGATTTAAAGGATGGAAGAAAGGATAGCATGTGATTCTTTGATTCTTGATTGCCAGGCAATCTTAAGCTCCTGCTTTTCTGCCTTCCTTGCCATGCTGCACTACCCTTTCTGGAACTATGGCAACCTAAACAAACCCTTTCTCCTTTAAGTTGTTTTGGTCATGGTACTTAATCACTGCGACAGAAAACTGATTATACACACTAAATGTGTGAAATAAAGATATCTTAAATTCATCATAGAAGCTTTCAAAAGCAAGTATCAACGATAAGTAATCCCAGAATAAACAGAGGAAAATATGAATAGTAAATCCAAATCTTATAAAGGAGTGGTAGAATTGGTTATTTTATATATTCAGGGTCCCAGCTTCAAGCTTGCTAACTTACTAAAGATATTCACAGTACTCAAAAGCTAATGTACTTGGATTGTGTTAGCCCAAAAGGCTACAGATTAATAAAATCAGCAGAGAAACAGCACATGGGACTCAGCCCATAAAAAGTCTTGGTGTTCATTGTTTTATGTGGATAAGAGTATGTCAGTCACATAGGCAGTGCCTGAGTGAGTGACTGTAGCTACTCTTATTACAAAATCTTATACAAAGAAAATTCACTATTAACTATATTCACTATAAATCATATTTTTAATAGTGTCTTTGATCATAGTAATACAGTATGACTCAAGGCTTCAGGTATATAAAATTATAACCTAACACAATATCCCAATAACTAGGAGTTACCTTTCTAGCATCCTGTCAAGGGGTTGTCCTTAAATTTGACCTTGTTTGGGATTTGAAATATACATGAAACAATTTAAAATAAACCTTTATATTAATATATTTTAAATTGCTTTGCTATTTGACAATTTTATAAATAGATATGATGTATTCTAATTATCTTCCCTCCACCCGTTCATAGCTCCTTCCCACCTGTGAGGCCTCCTCCTCTACAGATCTCTTTTCCACGAACTTAAATTTTTATTTTGTTATTCACTGAATGCCCCAGGAACATCTGTGTGACCCAAGACTTGAACCTATCCATTGGAGCTTAGGACTTCAGCAGTGGGTAAATAACTGAAGGCAGTGCTCCTCTTCTCCCAGATTCTGTTACTAACCCATAGTTCAGCAGTGAGGAGTTGGGTCCCATGGATGACTCTTGTAGGTCAAGTCTCATGCAGGCCTAGAATCTCAGCTCCCATAAGGCTGAGATGACAGTGGCTGTATCTTGGTTAGAATGTGGCATTTCATAGCCTTTCTTCTGTATTGTTTGCTTTATTTGGTTTTAAAAATACATTTATGTGTTATAATTAATTTTTTCATTTATTATTGTGAGTGCACATATGTGGTGTGTACGTAGAGGTCAAAGGACAACATGCAGGAGTTTGCTTTCCTATCATGATGGTACTGGGAATCAAATTGGGGTTGTCAGATTTGACAGCTTGCATATTTTTCCAGTGAGCCATTTCACTGACTCTGGGCAAATCACTCTTCTTTTCATGAATTTTAACTAGACTTTGAAAAAAGAAAGAAGACACAAATCACCAGTACTTGGGATCTAAGAAGAGACTCACTGTAGGCCTATAGACTTTGAAAGTGTAAAGAATAGTATGAATATCTCTGACAGTAAATTTAGTAAATGAGATGGAATACCTCAAAGGAAAAAAAACTCCCAAAAATTGATAGCCTGAATACTGTATATCTTTTAAATTATTTGAATGTGTTCTTAAAAACCCTCTTAGAAAGAAAACTATGCTAGGTGTAATGAGTCTTTGTCAGTCCTACCAGCCAGCTCCCAAATAACAACACAGATACTTACTAATTATGAAATTTTGGCCTTACCTTCCTTCTCTTTCATTAAGGGTTGAAAACCAGGGTCTTGCTCATAGTTAAGAACATACTTACCACTCAGTTATACCCCTGGCCAGGTCAGTTGATTCATTATAAAATTGTCAAAGTTATCAGTGAAGAAAAGGCTAATCTCAACAAAAGGTCCTGGGACAATTGGATGTCTATACAGAACATAATAACCATAACATGCTCAAAGATGGCTAGGAAATGATTTAGTGAAGTGTTTGCCTTGCACACACGAGGACCTCAGTGCAACCACCAACACCCATGTTAAGACAAGTAGCTGAGATGTGTTTATAATCCTGGCTGGATACACTGGTCTGCCTTCCCATTGTTTTCTTGTTAGTCGGGTTAGATTCCTCAAGAAGTTTCAAGGTAGTGAGAGATTGTGTATTTAAAAATATGTGGTTGGTACTGAGAAGTGACACCTGATGACTTCCTGCCTCTACATACACACCGATACATGTATGTGTACCACCTGGCATGAACATACATACAAAGAAATGGATCAGTGGGATTCCTTAGGAACCCACAAATTTTATAGATTTTAGCCAATGCTATTGGTTGTACTCCACCAATTAGTGGAAATTGCATATTGCTGAAGACCACCACATACTTGAGTTAAAGAATATGGAGAGAGGCTGGTACTCTATTGAATATTTCATTCATATTGTCTAGCCTTTATTGTGCTGGAAGGTGCTGTACACATTATTAGAGTAAAAAAGTAGTCATCAGTCTCACCCAGCTATGACCTTCAGAGTTACAATAATGACCTACCTGCAAAGTACACTGATGCAATAGTAACAAGAATGTTATGGGAATAATCAACCACTTTTTGGTTGGATTTAAGGCTCATTTTTTATATGGAGCCCACACCTGACATTGTCAATGAGGCCAAGAAACTGAAGCAAAGTAGGTCATGGGCCTTAGAGCAAAAACAGACTACTGTTATTCTGCTAAGTGAATATATTAATAAAATGACATATCATGACATAGTGCTATATCCGTATATCAGGGCATTGATCATCTTTGATCAGAGAAGCTTTTTTCAGTAGGTGATGATTAACAGAGACCCACAACTAGTCAGTGCAGAGAATGAGACTTTAGAATGCTCAGCCCTAAATGGAATGTCTATATCATACCCCTCTTTTCAAGGCTCAAGGATCTATGCAGAAGAGGAGGTGGAAAGATAGCAAGAGCCACAGGTTAATAGATGTGTTCTAGGAAACAGTGTCCTCCAGGCACAGCAGGTAGATGTACGTATGAATTCACAGAGGCGCAAGACCTGCATAAGCCCAAGCCAAACAAAATCCCAGCACAGAGGAGAAGTAGGTATGAAGCCCCACCCCTAGCCGAAAAGCTACTCACAATTGATAGCTTCTGGAAGTGGGAGCAGTGTTCTTCAATGGTTTCAAGTGGCGTGTCAACTACATTCCAGGACAGGCTCCATGCTCAAGGGTAGTTATCCAACCCAAAATTATCTTAAAGGTTTGTGTTGCTCTTGTTTTGTTTCAAGGGGAGAAAGAACATGAAGTTAGGAGGGTAGGGACAATCTGAAAGGATTGGGGAGGTGAAAATACATGAACAAGCACATTGCAGGAACTGTGGGAAGGCTAATCAGAGGAGGCCAGATTTTATTTTACCCTGTTCTAACACAGTTCAAAAGTTTTAACCAGTTTAAGAAACTATATTATTTTAGCTCTTTAATGTAAGCTTTTAAAATGTTTTTATTCATTGAGAATTTCTTTTCTTTGAGATCATAAATCTCTGATTTTGCAGTCTTGGTTATCTTATTTATTTCCTTCTGAGTGTCCTTACAATTTGTGCACATTGATACTATATTTCTGATATTCATTGAAAAAGAAAAATTTGTGTATGCTTCATTTCAGCGTAGTGGAAATTCAGTTATTGAACTGTAACTAAAAACGGTTTCTGAAAAGATAAACAGCATTTTTCACCATAGCAGGCTGCTAGAATTGAACAGGCCTTTTTATTTCTGCTTCATCTTTGAAATTTCCTTTTTTTTAATTTGCATGTTACTATTTTAAATTAAACATTTTGCTCCTGAAATAAGATACATAAAACTAAATGTGCTATTTCCTCGCTCCCCCTTCTCTCTCTCTCTCTCTCTCTCTCTCTCTCTCTCTCTCTCTCTCTCTCTCACACACACACACACACACACACACACCCTGCTGAGTCTGTTGCTCATATGTGTATGAGTTTAGCGTTGACTCATTAAGATTGGATTTGGATAACCTGTCAGGGACCTTATCCCTAGAGAAAACTGATTGTCCCTCTTATTAACTAGTATTTTCATTGTGTTGATCCTGCTTAGACAGTTGTGTTCTTGAGGTTTCTTGAGCTTCCCTGTCATATATAGAAGAATATCAAAGCAGATGTCCTTGATCCCTGGCTCTTACAGCCTTTTCTTCCTTCTTGTGATGTTCATGAGCCTTAGGTGTAAGGATTGTATAGCCAGTTGTTCTCAGCATTTGACCAATTGTAGATTTCTATAGTGGTTTCTAACTGCTACAAAAAGGAGCCTTGGATAAGGAGTGAGAATATATGTTTCTGTGGGTATAAGAATAAGTATTAGAATGTATATTGGTTTAAGAACGAGACAGTTCTCCTCCAGGGCCAGAATAATAGATTTCTACATGGCTTTTTCATACAAACTTAGCTGAGTTCTTGTTAACTCTGTCCTCTCCCCACATCTTTCTCTCATGTGTCTAGTATTTTCCCCACATGTTTTACTTTCTTCTCTCCTGTAGTTAAACAATTGCATCCTTAACACCTCTCCTGACACTGTGGTATCTTTCTTGCTTCCCGACCTCTACAGATGCTCCAACTCAAACACACAGATGCAGTAATTCAAAGCTAGGCTTTGCATATAGTTTGTATTTCTGGGCCTGTTACCTCCTCTAGTATTTTTTCAGTTCCATCCGTTTTTCTGTGAATTTCATTTTTAATGGCTGAATATCAATGTAATATTGTTTATTTTTAAATTCTTAGAGAATTTCTCTAATTTACTTTCTAACTGGTAACATTCTTTTATGAATTTTAGCCTATTACTGTTTGTATTAAAAATTATCTTAAGTAAATTTAACAAAAGGATATGTTTATATTTGTCACTTGAATTGCTAGTTAATATTTAGTGTTTCAGTGATACAGTTGAAAAAATGCAGGATGACCTTTCTGTATAGTCTTGGCTTGAGAGTATAATTTGAGGCAATATTAATAACCCATGCATTTTTTTCCTTGGGAAACTTGAAATGTTTTATAATCTATAACTTTCTGATGAGTTTTCTCAAACATATCTTAGCCAAATTAAATTTTGGATCACTCTACCAGTAAGGAAATAGCAACTGAACTATTAATTTATTTCTGTAAAGCCCTTAAGTAAGTACCCTTATCAATATTAATGAACTCAGTTAATCTAAAATCACTTGGAGATTTTTAAGTCTGCAACTATAAATTGAGAGTGCTCATCAGATGCTCAAGAGAAGCACCATTCTATCCAAAAACGAAACAAAACAAAAAAAAAATACAAGTAATTGTCTCAGTAGTGTTGGGCATCAGTCTTTATTTTTACCTTTAAGCACTTGAACTATGCTGAACTGGGCCTTTCCTGTTGTGTATTCTCCTAGGCTGCCACCCTAAGCGTACTCTTCAGGATACCTTAGAAACTCAAATTAACACTAATAACCCAGAGCACTGAGGAGCACGTGATCAGAAGCTGAAGATTCAGAGGACAATGTTAGTGTAGAGGAAGGCAAGCAAGAAAAGACATATCAGAGTTATCAGACAACAAGAGAAATGGAACAAGAAACTCCAGAGAACGTGGATTCTGCACAGGAGAAAGTTAGTGCCCAGTCAGAGGCAGGCGATGATGCAAATGACAGAGGAGAAAAGGCTGAACTGGAAGGGAAGGAGGAACTGGCAGAAGCCTATCAGCTCCAGGTGGCTGAAGAAATGGCGAAGGAGATTAAGAAGAAGATAAGAAAGAAACTGAAAGAGCAGCTGACGTACTTTCCTTCGGATACTCTCTTACATGATGACAAGCTGGCCAGTGAAAAGAGAAAGAAGAAGAAGAAGAAAGTCCCGGCCCCGTCTAAACCTGAAAAGAGGTACTTCACGTTGACAAATAGACACACACGCTAGTACCTTCCCGTTCTAAGTGAAAACTATAATGTAACAAAGAAAGTTGGTGCTGCGTTTGTAACATAGCCACTGAAGGGATAATTGTGACGCTTTATGCAGTCCTATGTTTGCTATTGCTAGAAGCTTTACAAGAATTCACTCACTGAATCATTACCATGAGGAGCAGTAATGGATGATCCTGTTTTTCTAAGAAGCTGAGTGGTATAAGCCCCAGCACCAGTAAGAGGCTCAGCCAGAACACTAACAGTCTAGCTCCAAACTGACTACATTTACCTGCTTACACCCACTTTTGAAATAACAGGCCTGCTGAGCATGGTGGTTCATGCATGTAATGCCAGCACTTGGGCACCAAGGCAGGAGATTCTGGAGATCAAGGCCAGCCTACATTTCATAGTGAATTTGAGACCTTCCAGAGCACCATGGTGAAACCCTGTCTCAGAAAGTCACTATACCCAAACACACACATGCAGAAACTTATTTCGATTTTGGGGTAGATATGTTTTCTTCCTTGTTAAACAAATAACATTTGTTCATTGTGGAACAATTACAAAGGTGATAACTATTGGCAATTTAATATTCTAGTCTATTTTTATGTGTGATGCTTACACATATATTCCTATATATGGTAAGTGTTTCTGAGACTATGTTCATGTTTATAAGTTCTCTATATAGAAACGGTGAGATTTATAAATGTCTCCCAGGTGGCATAATCCTTTTCCCCTGCAATCCTCATTTACCTAAACAACTAGTTATATCCTCCATCTTCATGTGACTAGCCTTTGGCAGTCTGGGGATTTTCCCTAAACTCTCTGCTAAAAAGAAATCCCATGATCTTTATGCATACCGTATGTGTGAACACTGCTACCCAAGTCTCTGGAAGAAGTAAGATGATACTTGTACCTAGGATATGGAAAAAACAAGAGAGCCAAAGTGCTTCAAGGATATTTTAATTTACAAATCAGCTCTCTGTTGGCACTGTGACCATTTTCCCCAGAACACGGCAGCTCACTACAGCAGGTGTTTGTTGTCTCCCAGCTGCTGCTGCTCAGATCACTAGAGAGTAACTTATCTGGGCACCTCTGGGTTTCACAGGCTCTCATAAGCTTCAGTCAGGGAGCTAGCCTGCTGATACCTTGACAGGGAGCCATAACCAGTGATACCCAGCTCTTCTGGGTAGGCCTCAGAGGAACCACTGTGCATAACCGTGAGGCCATAGGCAGCCTCTGGTCCTGACTGACTTTTAGTCAGAGAAGAAAGTTCTTTTCCACTTGGGTCAATCCATTGTGAACTCACCCAGACGGCAACTTTCTTCCCCAGATCAAGGTTCTGACAGAGTAATAGCAAGACAGAAGTGAAACTGTTAAAAATAGCATCCATTTTCCCATATCCTATTGGAACTGGGTGGTGAGGCCCAGCAGGTAGTCATAGAGAGGGAGATTCTTGAAAAACTTGCAGAAGCAAAGATCCGCCAGAGCCATCATATAGGCTACTGCCCATAGTGTACTGTGAGTCATTACCACATTAGTGTGGAAACAGGAAGACGTTCTCTCTAGAAATGAGAACTAGTTTATGAAGTCTAACTCAAACTATGCCATACATGATGGTGGCATGCCAGTGTGACTGTCCTGTAAGAGTAGTATTTTGACTGATAAAATAGCATAGTTTTGACTGGGTAGTGGTGGTGCATGCCTTTAATCCTGGCACTCAGGAGGAAGAGGCAGGCCTGGTCTATAAGAGCTAGTTCCAGGTCAGACTCCAAAGCTACAGAGAAACCTTGTCTCGAAAAATCTAACTAACTAACTAAATAAATAGAAAAAAATTAAATAATAGCATAGTTTTGGGAACAACTACATTAAGTACTTACATATTTTTATTTCTCAGTGCTCCTTTTCAAAAGATAGCTGAGTATGTTGAAAATTTATTTTTTATTATTTAAAAACATTTTTACTTCCTAAATTATGAACAGACTCTAATAGGCCAGTTTCTGTTCCTGCCTGCTACCTCTGGCTGTATGGATGTGGTACAAATTTTATTTTAATCAAGACTTCTGAAAAATGTAGTCATATACCAGCCTCTAGATATCAAAAGCAATGAACTTTGACTAGAAATCAAAAATTGTGTGGCTAAAGTTTCTTAAGAACAAACTTTGAAATTTTCTTCTACTTTTTGAGTAATTTAGACATTTACCCATTAATTATTTAGTCAACAGCAGGATGAGGCTACTCTGAAATTCCATGTGATACAGGTCCATAATCATAAAATATTATTTTATTTCTCCTTTGCTTATTTGCTTTTAGACAGCATCACAATTTGCTCCTGGGGGGGTAATTGTGTGGTCCTCATGCCTGAGTCTACTTAGTGGTGAGAGTACACTATGACATTTATAGCTTTGTTTAAACTGGCTTCCAAGATATGTAGCCTTTTATCAGGTAGAAAGTATTATCTATGGTTCCTATTTTGTTATATAAGAAAATTCCAAATGATGACATTTTTAAGAGAAAAATATTATTTTTTCCATTTACCATTCATTCTTCTATACCATAAATAATAATTATAAAAATAACCCATTTGTAATGGCTCCTTCTTGGGTTCTACTTGCAGTACCTCCGATGTCTGTGGTAGTGAAGCTGCAGATGAACAACAGAAAGAGTGTTCCCTTGAGACGGCTACTCCAGGGCCTCACCCCGACGAGGAAGTACGCTCAGAAGAGAAGAAGGGAGGTAACAGTATGCCAGAGACCAGAAAACCCAAACCCAAAAGGACAAAAAAGAAAACTAAAACAGGTTTGTTTCCAAAATAAATAAAAATGATGTGTCTTTGTGGGGTAACTTGGCCCTAGAAACTTGTTCTAAAAACTGAAGGATATAATTTAAAATAAGTCAAGATACACTCGTTGGTGTATCTTAATTCTTGTGGAGTAAGGTGTTCATTTTTTAATAACTATTATCTATGGGTCTGCATGTTGAGTTTATGGTTCCTGATTTAATTTAACTAAAGAAGGATATGATTTGTAGCTGCTTTGTAGCATTAAAAATTTAATTTTTCAGCCCGTGATGTTAGAACTGCAAATTTTTACCTTGGTGAGTGACCTGGAAGGTCTGTGATTAGCGGAGAAAGGCAGTCGGAGATGGTAAGAGTAATTCTGTGTAAACCTAACATGAGAGCAATTATGACACTGGTTTTTCTTCCCTGCCGTAGGTCTGGTTGAGAAGGACGGCGTGAATGGTGATGGTGTTCATGAAATAACAAGCCGAGACAGTCCAGTTCATCCCAAATGTTTGCTTGATGATGATCTTGTCATGGGCGTTTACATTCACCGAACTGATCGGCTTAAGGCAGATGTTATGATTTCTCACCCAATGGTGAAAATTCATGTGGTTGATGAGCATACCGGTCAATATGTCAAGAAAGATGATAGGTAATTTTTAAAAACTTAAACCACTTTTAAGTTGAAACTGTCTGAAGTAGAAATCCTCTTTGCTGTCCTTCATGACTGAAAGTTATTAGGAATAGAGCTGTGACTGGTATTAGAGAACAGGCATTCCTCAACTTGACCAGCAGACTTTATAGGGGAAATGGAGGAAGTGCATCCATCTTGAGTGTAAAGTCTATCAAGCATAGTAATTAGGTCATAAATTTGCATTGTAAATACTGTAATTGTTCTTCTACCGTTTAACCTCCCACTTTTCCTCTGAAATTAATGTGTTATATGGACCGGAGGTGCAGCAAATGTATAATGACTTTATTTTCCCCTGAGGTTATATCTAGAGAGAATGCATGTGTGAAAGTCTAGATTTAAAAAAAACAATAAAATAAATCATTATACTAGATTATATTAATTCAAAATAAAATTTGCTTGAAAGGATATTGGGAGGAAAACAAGATTATTACAAAACAAGACACCCATTTAATTAGTTGTGTTAATACATACACAGAAAATAGGATGCAAAAGAGTTCTTTTTACATTTAAACTTCAGAAGTAGCTGCTCAGTTTTAGCTCTGTACATTAAAGGAAGGTTATTTATACCTTTCATTTTCTATTATAATAAATTATGTGACCCAAAGGAAAAAAATATAATGCAATATTGTAGTAAGACACCATCAATTTTAATTTTTTAATAAAATTTATAGTTTTTATATGTTAAAGAACATTATTTTTGCTTTTGTGCCATTATAGCTATTTTTCTGCTTCTTTTATGGACTATACATTTTTCTCTCTTCCTCTAAAAAATGTATTGAATTGTAGTAATGGAAACTTTGTGTTTGAACAGTGAACGTCCTGTTTCATCTTATTATGAAAAAGACAATGTGGATTATATTCTTCCTATTATGACTCAACCATATGACTTTAAAAAGTTAAAATCAAGGCTTCCAGAATGGGAAGAACAAATTATATTTAATGAAAATTTTCCCTATTTGCTTCGAGAGTTTGATGAGTGTCCAAAAGTCATCCTCTTCTTTGAGGTACGGATTAAAGAAAGAAAATTCAATTTTAGTAAATATTTATCATACAAGTATGAGTTATAGATTTAATAGTTTTATAATGCGATAATGTAAGAATTTAATGCCTGAAATTTATTGTTGCAGTATGCTCTGTGGGTGCCAATGAGAAGGCCCTTTTAGAAACAGATGGCGTATTTGCTAGCCTCTTCCCAGTGCTAGGAGTTAAGTCATCTGGTCTGTTCTAGAATGCCTTGTAATCTTTACATCAGCTCAATGATTATGAACTAAAGTCACAAATGCCATCATCCATTTGACTGTAATCCTCCGTTGTGAATCCATCTCACAAAAGCAAAGTCATTAACTCTATCAAACTACCTAAATATAGGCATGTAACCTGGAATAGAGACGCATGTGCAGATCAGTTAGCAAATACAATGTAACACATGGTAAGAACTTCTTAGATGTGGAGTGGACTTGGGGAGCAGTCAGGAAGCCCTGTGCATAGGGTGAACTTTGAGCTGACTTGTTCCAGTTTTCTCACCTGTAAAGGCTATGGGGCTGGGAGGACAGTGATTTTCCTAAAGGCACTCCAGCTGTCTGTATGGGCAGTTTGTTTCCCACGATAACTCAAAAGTATGATGTTCCTCTTTGTCTGACTTATGTTCTCTTTCCATAACAAAATGGAAATAGAGAAAGCCACTCATTCAATATAACTAAGCTGGATAATTTTAAGATGAGAACAGCAAGAAACTGCAGTGACTAGAGCTGATGATTGATTTTTAGAGCTGTAGTTGATAGATCTGTGACTACATTATGTGTGATTTATACAAAGCTATGTTTTTAAAGGATATAATGTATCTCAAGGAACTTTAATAAAAACTTACCATTTGCTACTTATTGCTACGTTTTTTATAATTTACATTAAGAGAATAAAATATATATAGATCAGTTAGGTAACCATTAAAATGAGATTCATGTTTATATATTAACATAAAAATAGATACCCATTTCATTTTGTATGCAAATTGTTTGCAAAATAGAATGTATTGCATTTGTAGTTCCATGCATACATGTACTTAAGAATGCATAGAAAACATTAAATTTGCATAAACAAATGTTGTTGATGGGGGAATATGGCAGTGTATAAAATGCTGTTGCACAGCATGGATACCTCAGTTCAGCTCCTCAGGACCCACTTGAAAGTGAAGCCCAGTGGAATGTATCTCCAGTCGCAGTACTAGAGGGCAGAGACAGGTGGATCCCCAGCCTTCTGTAAAGATTTGTTATCTCAACTGAGCTTTTTTATTTTAATCAGATTTATTTAATTCAAAGTGATATCCTTAAACAAGTACCCGGAATACCATCCATGGCAGATTGCCTACACGCTCTTGATCTCTAATATCCAGGCAGGGTGAAAATATGTTGAAAACCTCAGGAGGCCTAGTAATAGCATATCCAAAGGGAAAATCCATGCCTTCAGTAACATAGCTAAATAAGGATTCAGAAAATAGAATCGAAAAAATTTTAAATAAGCATTAAATACAAAAAAACACCTCTTCAGATACCTGGGAAATGATCAAAACTTGATAATTTTATGTTGTGTTTATTTGTGCCTAGAATATATTTAAGGTGATTTTAAAAAGATACAACCATGACCATGTATATTTATGGGATAAAGATGTGACATTTCAGTATTTTATACAATATGTAGGAGTCAAAACTGGATTAACTGGTATAGTTATGATATTTGAGGTAGTTAATGCTTTGAAATAAATCCTAATAAAAGGAATTATTAATATCAAAATTGAACCCTTAATATTTGGATAAGTTAACTTGAAAATAAGTAAATGAGATAAATATTTTTTATTCCTTGTAAGGTAGACATTTTAAATACCTAGATGATAATGTGTCCATAGAGAATATTCAATTTAGACAGTCTAGTATTCTGTGGAATAATTTTAAAAATATGTTTACAGATTCTTGACTTTTTAAGCATGGATGAAATTAAGAATAACTCTGAGGTTAAAAACCAAGAATGTGGCTTTCGGAAAATTGCCTGGGCATTTCTTAAGGTATGTTATCACCTGTTTTTTGAATACATTTAAAATAATCGCTTCCAAGTTTTACTGGCTGTTTTTTTCCTATGTCATTTTGGTCTCAAAAAGTTGTTAATTCAAGTCTTAGTAAGACTTACTAAGAGTCTGAAATAGGGTTGGATAGATGGCTTAGTGATTAAGAGCACTGGCTGCTCTTCCTAAGGACCTGGATTCAATTCTCAACACCCATATGGCAGTTCACAACTGTCTTTAACTCCAGTTCTAGAGGATCCAACACCCTCACACAGACATACATGCAGGTCAAACACAAATGCACATAAAACACATGAGATGGGGGCGTTGGTGGCTCATGCCTTTAATCTCAGTGCTCAAGAGGCAGAGGCAATCAGATCTCTGAATTCAAGGCCAGCCTGGTCTACAAAGTGAGTTCCAGGACAGCAGGGCTGTTACACAGAGAAACCTTGTCTCAAAAAAAGAAAGAGGCTGAAATACTTACTGATTACCCAGTGTGTACCTTTTATGCTTTTTGACCATAAAGATACTGTACTCAAAGATACATACATTCCTGCATCTTGTGTTCAATTTATGAGATATTACTTAGCCTTTTCAATGTGCCAGTCATTGTTCAGCCAACAACCCTGAATTCCTTACCACATAACATGAGCACTGGATAGATGGGAAAGTCTAAGCCATTATTAAGTTTTAAAGAACGTTGTGAAGAATAATAATGTTTTAAACAAAAGCAGTTTATTAGAAACTGTTCATATTTATTCTGTGTTAAGTTTTGTACACATCTGCTATATGAGCTATAAACTGCAATTACCACACACTTAATGTCACATCATTTTATTTTTTACTTTTAAAGATCAAATGTGTCTTAATTCAGCCATATTGAACCATTGCTAGAAGGTATGAATTCTTGAGTCCATATCTCTGATCCTATAAAGGGTAATGAATTCTATGTGTTTCCCATTCATAATACTGTGTGCCTTTTTCTTCATTGTAAAACTTACAAGCTTTACAAAGTTATCAGTAATTTCTGTTGGATTAATTCTTTGAGCAATTTTGGGTTTTATTTTATATTTGCTGTATATTGTTGCATTAAATTTGTTACATAATTCTCTTGGAGTTTCTCATGTTCACTATCTCCCCACACTTACAGACACACCAAAGGGTTGAATATCTACTGAAGGATTCAGTTTTTTTAAACCCACTTTTGTTTCTTGTTCTTTGGATTTGTGAATACAGTTACTTACTGGACATTTCAGCTTTGACTATCCTGGAAAATCTCTTACCTCTCCTCTTGTCTCTTAGCTCTCCACATATTGTCTGCCCAGGCTTGTGAGTTTATAATCATAAATAACACATATCATGTTTATCTCAGATTAATTCAAATGAAATATAATTAAAAATTTACTTCCATAGTTACACGAGTCACACTTAAGGACTTGACAGTCTCATGTGATAGCCCAAGTGTATCTTTACATTGGAATGGCACGTCTGCCATCATAGGTCCTTGGGACAACTCTACAAAGAGTTTTTTGGCTCTTTTTTCTTCTTTCCAAGTTGCATTAGCCAACAGCACTAAGTGCCCTGCACTCAGTGTCTTACTTCCCGTCCTAGCCACCTGCAAGGTGAACTGCCTTGCAGTGAACTGCCACTGAAACACTAATTTTCTTCTCAGGTTCACAACGGACACAGTGCTTACAAGGGCATTTCCTATTTAGCCATTATGGAGTAAAAGAAAGCTTAATTTGAACTGCTGAGTTCTTTTCCTAACTCTCCATTTATCTGCTTATCTTGTTTTGTTTACTTGGCTTTTTAAATAGACCTTTCAAAGAAGGTAGACTAAAATACTGAAAAATAGAGTGGTTGGTTTGAATTAACTTATCTTAAAATGATTTGTGTATACTATTTTATTCATTAAAAGTATTAATGTAGTCCTGTAGTTCCAGATACTGGGGAGGCTGAGGCGGGGCGGGAGGAGGGGGTTATAAGATCAAGACCTGCTTGAGTTCCAGATTTCAAGACCAGCCTGGGTAGTTTACTTTCAAAATGGAAAGGAAGAGGAGGGTTGGGGACATAGCTTAGTAATAGAGCATGTGGGGGACACTGTAAGACCTCAATAGGATTCATCTTCAGTACTGCTAGAGAAAAAGTACTGACAGTAAGTAGAAAATGCTTGTGTTGAGTAATATGTACTTTCCTCTTTATCATAATTATTTCAAACAAGTGTTTGTTGCTCCTCTTTTTCTGTGCCCATGATGTAAATGTTTTATCAGCAGTCTGCAGCAGTTCTGCAGCCGAAAAGAGTGCTGTTGGGAAATGCCTTCAGATTTGCCAAACTGATCAGAAAGTGCCTCCTGCTAGGTTCATCTCCCTTTTTCTCTATAAATCTAAACCATTTCAACCTGTTTTAGTCTTTTAAAACCAAGCTTCTGGCTCTGTGATTGCTTTATTGGATGTGTGTTTTCAAAAAAGTTAACATTTTAAACAAATTCTTGTTTTAAGCTTCTGGGAGCCAATGGAAACGCAAACATCAATTCAAAACTTCGTCTCCAGCTCTACTACCCACCCACTAAGCCTCGATCTCAATCAAATGTTGTTGAGGTTTTTGAATGGTGGTCCAAGTGTCCAAGACATCGTTATCCATCAACATTGTATGTAACCGTACGGGGACTGAAAATTCCGGACTGTGTAAGTTAATAGTATATATAAATGTCTCTTCTCTATTCCCAAAATTAAGAATGACTTAATGTACTTTCCATATTTAAAAATCTAAGCTCTCAGAATGATTTTAACAGGTTTCTGTAACAGAAAGAATCCTGCAAAGACTATGTGTTTAGTCTATAACAGTTAAAGAGTAGATGAGCTTGTACGTTTTAAGGAGTAGACTTCACTGTTAAGAAAACTGTTTTGGCATAATCTTGTATTTTGTAGTTGAAAATAGATGGAAAGTTGGTATTGAGAAACATTTTCATATAAAGGGCAATAAATAAAATGTTTTAGGCTTTGCAGCCAGGTGTCACAACTTCTCAACCTTGTAGTGGGAGAGTAGCCGTAGAGGCACACAGAAAATAAAGAACACCTTAATGTGTCCCAGTACATCTTTATTTATTATAGCTAGTAGTGAACCAAATCACTTGGGCTTTACTTTGCAGATCTTGATTTACATATTTTACACTAGAATCAGTAAATATTATTAACCAGCGAATAGCATTTCTACTTCTGTTGTCTACGAATGAACATTATTAATGATCTCATTCTCAAGGAACCTAAGATTGAAAAACTTATGCTATTGTCTTTTTTATATTAATCTTTCATGTAAGTTGTACAGTCTGTAGCTGATTTTGTATGCTCTGAGCACAGAATTGATTTGCATTGGTTTAAATGGAATTAAATAAAATCCATCAGATGGTAGGGTTTTTTTTTAAAGAATTTCAGATTTTTTTATGATATTGGTTTTGTGATTGTTTTTAAGCCAACAGTATTATGTTTTATCGGAGGCATGGCATAACATTAGGTAAGTGTTTATTAAGAAGCAGACACAAGGGCTGTAATCCCAGGCACATCAGAAGTGGAATATGGAATACACAGCCCACTTCAAATACATAGTAAGTTTGAGGCAGCCTGAGCTACATGAGATCTTGTATCAAAAACTAAAATAATGTAATAAGAATAATTTAAAAAGCCATTTTTACTATTGGTTTCTACTATTTTATCCAAACTTCTAAAGCTTTGTGATTATAGGAGAATAGTTCAAATAACTTTTATTTCATTTAGAATGATATACAAATGAAAAAAAATGCTGGCTTGTGTTTCAAAAAGGTTTCCATACCATTTGTCTCAGTATTTTAATTTTATTAAGTTTTGTTTGTTTGTTTTTATTCAAGCCAGGGTTTCACTATGTAGCTCTAGCTGTCCTAGGACTCACTATGTAGACCAGGTTGGCATACAGAGATCCGTCTGCCTCTCCCTCCAAGTGCTGGGATTAAAGATGTGCTCCACCACATGGGCTTTGTCTCAGTACTTTAAAAACTATGTGCATGAAAAATAAGACAACTTGTTGACAATCTTCTTGACTTCCACGTGATCCCCGTGGAGGAAGAAATGCACCAATTCTTACTACTTGACCTCCACAAGTGTGCAATTAGCATGTTTGTGCATGCTTAACATTTCTCATTTTTCTTACAAATTTAGATAAAGCCATCTTACCGCTCTATGATGGCTCTTCAGGAGGAAAAAGGTATACCCGTGTATTGTGAACGCCACCGTGAGACAAGTTCAGTAGACACAGAACCAGGATTAGAAGATTCAAAGGAAGTGGTAAAGTGGAAACGTCTCCCGGGTCAGGTGAGAGGGTTGCTTGCATTTGTTCATTTGTCATTGCTGTGACAAAACATTTGAGAAAAGTGGTTTAAGGAAGCAAAGGTCCACTTGGCTCCAACATCCTTCATCCAGTATGCTTGGCCTGACCGTCTGAATACTTTATTAGCTATATTTAGTTAATATTTACAGTCAGCTGATAACTATTTGTAGGGCTATTGTGATGAATATAGCTAAAGACATTTGTAGTGATGTCAACATTCATGATATACAATAAGGACTCAGTGTGTACTTACTTCATCCTCTTGAGTAGCTCAGGAACTAGGCTTTCCCATCCACACTTAAAGGAAGCATTTTACAGCTTTGTATATTGAAATTGGCTTTTTATGCTTGGTGCCACCCTTAATGAAAATAAAGATCATTTGAACACAAACACTGCAATATCATGATAGTCTAACAGCAAATCAGCTACTAATGTGTTGACTGGGTTTTCTGTCCTGCCCAGTTCCCTGCAATTGTTAAGTCCCAAAGAAATCACACAGAGGTCTGCATTAACTATAAACTGATTGGCCCATTAGTTCAGGCTTCTTATTAACTCTTATAACTTATGTAGCCCATTATTAGCCCATTATTCTTATCTGTGTTAGCTATGTGGCTCAGTACCTTATTCAGTGGGGCAGTCACATCTTGTTTGTTCTGTGATCGGAGCAGAACTCCAGAGGAATGGGCTTCCTCCTTCCCAGAATTCTCCTGTTCTCGTTGATCCGCCTCTACTTCCTGTCTTCTTGTCCCACCTATACTTCCTGCCTGGCTACTGGGCCAATCAGCATTTATTTAAATTATAATTGACAGAATACAGACCATTCTCCCATACTACTAATGGTCTAGTAAAATGTTTAACATTGATATAATAAGCAGAGATAATTCATATCCGGGGTAGGATGTGAGGTGGCAGAATTCCAACACACTATTTAGAATGAAACACATTTTAAAACTTAGAAATCATTTATTTCTGAAATTCCCCACATAATATTTTCAGACCATAGTGACCATGAATAACTCAAACTACCCAAAGCAAAACTGCAGATAAGTCAGAGAATGGCTCTCTGTCTTGGAGATAGCAACAGTGGGTAGTTATTTTAAGAGAGAAAACCAAGAATGACCATTCCTAAATTCTGAATTTAAACTAGGACATGTATGGCATTTTTAGCTTTCAAATGTTTCTGACCTTAGGAAAAGTGACTGTTGTCATGGAGTAAGGAGATGAAAAACATTCTTAGTGTGGCTGTATGAAAGCAATATAACAATAATAGTGTTGAAGCATTAGATACTGAATTGTTTGTTTGTGCTTTAGATTACCTAAGTGCTAATTAGACATAAATTTGTTTTATGGAAAACAAATTCTGTACTAAAAGAATAATTTTTTATAGTTTTTCATTATTCTGTGTACGTGTCTTTCTTTTCCTATGTGTTATAGTAAAAGAACTTTAGCGAGAAATTATGGTAATGGAAATTATGGGGTCATTTTATTATAATATTTTCTAATTTATGTAGTTTTAATACATCCTTCTTAGGCTTGTCGTATCCCTAACAAGCACCTCTTCTCACTGAATGCTGGAGAACGAGGGTGTTTCTGTCTTGGTTTCTCCCACAACGGAAGAATATTAGCAGCCGCCTGTGCCAGCCGAGATGGATATCCGATTATACGTGAGAATAATGCTACCTATTTGACCTGATTGTATTCAGTGTGATCAATATTGGGTTTTTAGTTAACTGAAATCTTATTTAAGAATTTCCTAGTAAATCAATCATATTTCTTCAAATAAAGGGATAGTTGCTGTATAATATCTATTCAGAATGAGAAGATTGAGTGAAAGATGTTAATTGTTTGACCAACAGGTGGATTTTTGTAAACATTGTCTGTTTTAAATATACACATCTAGTACTAGGAGAATGTTGAGTATCATGGGAAACTTTTAGCCCATTGTGATTTTAGTTGGTAGTCGTCATGATCTGAATTACAAAGTACAGTAGTTTTGCCATGTGCTAAAATTCTAATACGTGATCCTGAAAGACCACAAAGAAAGCTCCCGATGTAGGGAAGGCAGCAGAAAGGCAAGAGATCTTTTTGTTTAGCCTTGGGAGATTTTAAAAGCAGGATTATAATATTCTGGATTTAGTTGTTTGTTTTATCTCGGTAATGACATTAGCTCTCGTTGTCTAGAAGAAGCCAGCTCTTCATGGGCATCCTCCCTGATTTCCAGGCCACACTGGACTTAACCTAGCTTCACATGATTCATGATATTCATAAAATACATGTTCCTACATATTAATTGTCATTATTATCTTTTGGAGAATGAAATGGTTATTCATGATTTGTGTGCTTTATATTTTTCTCTGTTAAATGTTATTCTGTGCTTAGATTTATTTATTAGTTTAATCTCAACAAATATGATAAGAATCATTGTCTCTAGCTTTGCACTCTTTGATTATGGGATGTCTGACTGAGAATTCACCCAGTTTGCTCCATGAATTTTGGAAGTATTCCTTCATTATTTCTCCAGATGTTCTGTTTGCTGCCTTTGTCCTTCTTCTCCGAGGACTGCCATCATACCTGTCTTTGGAGACTTAGTGTTGTCTATTGGATCTCTGACACTTAATTATTTTTCTTCATTCATTTTCTGTTCCTTAGATGGGATAGTGTCAGTTCCCCTAAAATCAGGTTTAGTGATTCTTCGGCCAGTTCAGGTCTGTTGTTGAGCCTTTCTCTTGAATTCTTTATTTCAGTGATTATAATTTTCAATTCCGAAGCTTCTTTTGGGCTCATCCTTAGCATTTCTGTTTATTTACTGATGCTTTCTCTTTTGGTGAGGAGAGTCTTTCTTTAGGTCTTTGACCATATGACAACGATAGGTTTAATTATCTTGCTAAGAAAGATCAGAACTGGGCTTCCCAAGTTTCTGTAAGGACAGTGTCTGCTAACTGCTTTTTCTTCCCGTGTGTAGCTAGGTTTTTCTGTTTGTTTGCCTGTTTCCATGTCACAACTTTATGTTTAAAACTGTGTATTTGAAGTAATATAGTGCAGTATAGCGCTGTTTCCATTCTCCCTTCGGCTACCTAAGCTTTGTTACTGCTTCTGGTTGTGCGGTTAATCTCCTAGACAAATTCTGTAAAGAATTTGTGCTCTGCTGTGTTATTAATCTTCTGTAGACTGTACCCAGTCAGCTAGTGTGATGCTGCCCTTTGCTAGGGAGCATTATTCTGGGATATTCTTTCAGTTATTTAGCACACAATTTAAAAAAGTTCCTGAGCTTTAACTTCCTGTTTGTGCTAAGCTTCTTCAGGTCATCCACATAAAGATAAAGCCTCCAGGTTTTTCTTGATTATGCAGGTTGCCTTTACATACTTGTGTGGGGAACCTAGGTTCTTAGCAATATTTTGAAGCTGTATATAGTTCCCATAACCATCCCATTCCAGGTTCTGCTTGTATTTAGATTTTGTGTTCTTTGGTGAGCTGCTTCTTATTCCCAGCTGGTATTAACCTCTAAAGCAACCACAGCATTAAAAGGTGTCTCTGGTTGTTTCTGCGTGCACACTAGAAGCAGTTGCTTAGGGGAAACTACACAACGTAGTTAAATAAGCTTTGGAGTCTGCTTTGAGTAGGACAGGTCATCACATAGGAAGAAGTCTTTGGACTAGAGTTGTTTGTTTGGAGCTTCAGACCTCTTCTGCATCAGTGAGTGGTTTCTGGGCTTCTGATTTTCATTGTTTTTTTTTTGTTTGTTTGTTTTTGTTTTTACGGTTTCTTTAGTGTTTGTTTAGGAAAGAGGAATTAGATAGTTGTAACAACACAAAGCTCAGTGTTCTTACTGAAACTCAACTGTTTTCTCAAGTAAGTGTTCCTCCAACTCCCCCAAGCCTTGCACGGTTAATTCTGAGTTCGGTCACGCCATTTGCAAATCTTCTTTTTTCTTTTACAGGGGATTAGATTTTCCGAAGTCCCGATTTTGCTCTGGGTTCTGAACTGCTTAGTTGTCTGAAGGGTGGTTGATTTCACCACTAGGTGGGAGTAGAGGCTAGGACACTATTCTGTGTTAAGCACTCAGTTTAGATTTCCTTGAGTATCTGCCCTAAGACTACTACCTTGCTTTGTTTATTCAACTCATTTGCTGCTAATTCCATTATGCGCTCTAACATTTTACTATTAGAATTTCTTTTTGACAATGCAATAGTTTATATTTCTTATTACATCCAAAAATTTTTGGAATTTAATTGGTGTTAGAGGAAAGTAATACCTTATTCATGAAACCCTAAGTTATAAATTATTTAAAGTGAATTGCAATGTAAATATTATTTAGTTTTTACTAATAAATTGACTATGAAAAGTTCTTTAGGGATTCTAGCAATATGAGTAATTCATAGCATATTAAAGAATATTGTCAAAATTTAGCATATAAAAATTTTATGTAAACTCTTGGGATCAAATTAAAATAGTTCTTGAGTTTTGAAGTTGTGTTAATATTGTAAATATTTTTTACTTTAATTTTGCAAATAATGTTTAACTTTTTCTAAATTATTAGAAGTTATAAATTTATATATTTGTTGAATTAAAGATATCCTAGACATTTAATTTCTAAATATTTTTATTAGTGTATGAAATTCCTTCTGGACGTTTCATGAGAGAATTGTGTGGCCACCTCAATATCATTTATGATCTTGACTGGTCAAAAGATGATCGCTATCTCGTTACTTCATCATCCGATGGCACTGCCAGGTTAGTATACGTTCCAGAAGTTCTTACTGTCTGTGTTGTTTGCCATTAAAGCAAGCTAAGAGACTCTAGAGAGACAGATACGCCTCTGACCATCATAGCTGTGCGTCATACATACCGTCTGATTAGACAGCAGTAAAACTGGTGCCAGTTGTCTTGACTCTCTTTTATTTACTTAATGTATATCATTTCTGATTTTCTTTAATCAGATGTTTTTAAATGATTTTGTGTAAACTGCTAACTAATATCTTGCAAGAAGTGTGTGGTATTTGTCCTATACTGTAACTGAGGATTCTGTCTTCATTGTAGGCTGGGTGTAGGGGCCTGAACCCGTAGTGCTCAGTAGGTAGGAATAGACCAGTAAATGACTCGGTTACGTACCGTAGAGCTTTATAGCTTGTTAAATATTTGCATTTTTGTGAAATCAGTCTAAACTTATTCCCTTTCAATTTAATATGAATCACAACACAACATTGTATTTATTGTATGATTCTTTAATTTTTTTTCACAGTCTTACTCGTAGCCCAGGCTGACCTCAAATGTGCAGTCTTTCTTCCTCAGCCTTCTATATGCAGGAATTACTGGAATGGCCATCACACCTGGCTTAATAAAATACATTTAGAGCTAATTTTTAAATGTTATGTACTTCTTTTAGCTCCTTGTTTAACCTTGAATATTCATGATCTAAAAGAAAAGGTTTTCAAGGTTCTTTCTCTGTGTAAATTAGACTAGGTAGACACGCATTCTCTTCCACCTGGGAAACTGCACTGCTATCTTGTGACCTGCACTAACTTCATTCTCATTTACTTTCCCTGCCTCCTGTTCTTACTTGACAAGCTGTGTGATTTTTAATGGTAGGCTCCTTCTGCTAACCTTAACTTCCCTTTCTATGTAAAATGACTGTTGGTCAGTATGTCACCATTGTTCAGTTTATATTTAAGTGAAAAATGATAATTAATGACAATTTAATTCCGTCTCTATCAGTCTGGGGCAATTATTACTCCATTAAATGTACTAAAGCTATTGACTGGCTTAGTCTTGACAGCCATTCTATCTAGAGGTGGGTAATAACAGTAGAGAAAAGGTCTCAGTTTGCTGAGCCATGACAAAGGCTTTTAAGGTGTAAGTCTCCTGAGCCTTCATCCCTGCTGAGTCATCTTTCAGCCTCTCAGTTCCTTCTTCTCATCCACCAGCAGCAGGTCCAGACGTTAGATGCATCAGTTTCATCATCTTTTATTTTCTGACTTCAATTTATGATAAAATTTTTACTGGATATATGTATGGTCTCCATAATGTCTATCAGTGGACCCAGTTTTATATCTGTGCAACTCTTGACTGTATGGGCATAGACTCCTTAATCAATTAAAATCCAACCCAGAGTGCTGGTGAAGTTCGTCAGGTGAAGACAACTAGTCTGTAAACCTGGGATATCTGGGATCCACACAGTGGAAGGAGACAACCAACACATGCAGATTGTCTGCTTACTCTACACATGTGTGCAGTGGCACATGAAAGCCCCCCTCCCCCTCCCCCGCCGTGCACACATTTTAAATCAACTAAGATTTCACCATGGGTATCCATATGTCACATATCGTTCATTATGTTTTTCTCTAAGTACCTTTAAAATGGGCATGAATTTGGACTCTATAGATCATAAAAAGATTTGTGAAAGTGCTGAGTGAAGAAAAAAGCATTATAACTAGGACTAAAATGAAGACGAGGCCTCTGAAACAGATAGGAGGATGTTAGTATTGAGGAAGTGATAGCCAGAAGGAAGTTAGGAGGGTTGGTCGTGCTCACAGTGGCAAGTTGTGGGTCCTCTGCCCTGCCTTCTCTCTGTTTTCCTGGGATCACTTTCACGTGTTCCCATTGCTTTTTCCCAGGTAACCATTTTTGACCTGCTAGTTCCTTGCCATATGGCTTTAGCTTATTTTCTCCTATACGTGCTTCTAGAAGAATCTGGTTTTTCTCAAGTCAGCAGCTTCTGACTTGAGAACAGAAAGACAGAAACACCTGTAATGGCTCTGCAGTAGGCTCGTGTGTACAGAGTTATACCCCATTTCACACATACTTGTTTAACTTTTTTTATATGTGCATTCTCTTTCCTGTCTAAAATGGTTTTTCTTGCATTTTCATCTACTCTTTAATAATTTGTATCTCCTTGTTCTTTACATAAAAACATGAACTAACAAGTTCAGTTTTTCCACAAAAAGCTTCATTTAAAACACACACACACACACACAGAGTATTGAGTCATTTTGACAGTCTCACTGGTTGTGAGCCACTGTATGGGTTCTGGGAACCTAACGTGGGTCTTCTGGAAAGCCAACCAGAACTCTGAGCCATCTCTTCAGTCCTCTTCCCTACCTTTTAATGCATATTGTGTTAAATAATGTTTTACCAGCTATTGAGTGTATATTTACCCAGTGTCAAAACTGGTTTTTAAAAATAGATTATTTCCTAGTGAAAATAAGTTTTTAATTTTACAATATGGGTTACAGTTATAGATAAAATATATTTCATGAGAAATTGCATTTTAAAATGGTGGGATAATCTAATATGTGGTCATTATTATATTTTTATTATAAATATTAATTTATGTAAGTTTATCGTTTGGCATTTGCTTACCTAAGTTTTATTGACTGTATTCTTCTAAGGACAGTTAAAGAACATTTTGAATTTCATCAGTCTGTTACTTTCTATCCTTTTCCAGGGTTTGGAAGAATGAAATAAACAGTACAAGTACCTTCCGAGTCTTACCTCATCCTTCTTTCGTCTACACGGCGAAGTTCCATCCAGCTACACGAGATCTGGTGGTTACGGGATGCTATGACTCAATGATAAGGATATGGAAAATTGATATGAGACAAGATACTCCCGTATTAGTCCGCCAGCTTGATGTTCACAAGAGTTTTGTCAACTCCGTCTGTTTTGATGATGAAGGTATATCACAGAATATGCTCTAAGTCAGGATAGTTACTTAAAGAGAGAGATTATTTTATTTCACTAATAGGTGATACTTGAGAGAGCTTGCATTAATATTTGTAAGTGTTACTGAACTGATACTCAGATCAGCTTTAGAGATTCTAGTAAATTAAGGACTTTTTTGGTTTTGCTCAGAATTAAAAAAGAGCATTCTACTACATAGCAGTATTTACCAGTTGAATAAGCTATTTTGTAAAGTATTATATTCACCGTGCTAAATAACCATATTTGTTAGCAATGATGTGTAACATATTCCTGCATGACTGTAATGTTTTCTGAGTGCCACTCAATTTTTAAAGACTGGTATTAATACTTGTTTTTATGGTTTTATTAATTATCTGATCATTTTAAATTTAATGGTCACCGGGATTATGTTAGCAGTATATATTAGAACAGGTATTTTCCTTGGTAGATAAAATATTACATAGTCTAATAATGATAAATACAGATACATGTTGGGCAATTTAAATAATTTGGATATGAGTATATGGGTACTATACATGTAGATTACATTGCTTGTTTCTTTTTGAATTCAGATTCAGATAAATGACAGAGGGAAATGTTACCAAAAATGCTCTTTAAAGGTGAATTTTCTTGAAGATAATTGGGATTATAGTGTGAGCTTTCTTTTTCTTTTTAACTTTTTACTGAAAAACCTTTCATTGGCTATTCAATACTTTGCCTGTTGGTCTGAGATATGGCTCCCCCAGCTTTATACCGTTTTCTAGCTTCTGTGACATTCTTAAGTGAGTAATTTGCTGTTGTCAATAGGTCATCACATGTATTCAGGAGACTGCATCGGGGTGATTGTTGTTTGGGACACTTACGTGAAAGTGACAGATTTGCAGCACTCAGTGCGCCACTGGACAATAAATAAGGTACAGAACCCCATTTCATACCGCAAAGGAAACTGAGGAGAATCAAGCACAGGGCTCGAACTAGTCTGTCCCTTGAAAAATTGAGCTTCTCTCAGTCCAAAAGCCAATTATCATATCTTCCTGGCAGCTAAAGTCAATAGTCGTTAATTAACTCTCACGTCTTTCTGATAGTTGATTGATCTCAACTCAGTGAAGGTTTTTTCTTTGTGCTACACTTTACTCTATGTTTAGGGCCTGGTACACTGTAGGCAGCGACTCTCCCGTTGAGTTCCAGCCTCGTCCCATTTGTCGTCTGTTGAGGTCCGAGCTGCAGCATGGCAGTCACTGAAGTTCACAGTGACACAGGCACACAAGCCTGGTACTTATAGCCTGTGTTTTCTCCTCAGTCCACGATAGTCACTAAGAACAGCGTCAGTGCTCTGTGTCTGAGCAATGTAATTATGGTAGGAAGCTGTCACTTAATTGTAATAACTGCTTCATTTGAAACTGGCTGATGATAGAAACTAATAAGGAAATGTGTTCCTGATTGAAGTAAATACGGAAGTGCATTCCTTTTTGGAAAAAGTTTTATGGTCTGTAAGCAATTTTGTTAGTTCTTTTTAATTAAAGATAAATGGATTGGTAAACTTGATCTTATGTTTTGTTATATATTATTATATTGTTATAGCTTCTACCTGTTGCATAATTTTCTTTATTTTTAATGAATTTTGACAATAGATACCAACATGTTTGAAAAAAGTTCTGTAAGTTTCACTTAAATCAAGTCTATCAGATCTATCGAGAGTATTCTGTCTTTAATTACTCTTATCTGATCTGTCAGATTAACAGGTGACACCCTAAGACTCATCATGTAGCTTGATTTCATACATTACATTTTTAAAAGAATTTTCTAATTACATGAACACTTACTGGATTGCTAAGTCTGTAATAAAGGCACCAATTTTCAATCATTTGAACCTATATCAACTTAACTATTGTGTTTCCTTGTCTTAACACAGTGTCTTAAACAGTGTTAACAGTATTTAAACACCTTAAAACAGGTGTCTTAAACCCAGACATCTGCTTGCCTTGAAAATCTACATGTTAGCATTATTTGAAACAGTCAGAACTAAACATAGGAAGTGAGCTGGTGTGTCCTTTTAGGAGTGAATGCACATGGTAAACTGGGGCGGGGGGGGGGATTGATTTCATCCTTAGCTGCCTTCTGCCAGCAGTATGGGAAGTGCTGAGGTACTCACTCATCTGCCCCTAAAGATGAAATGGCCATGTGCAGACTCCTAGCTAGCCTTGCACAGGCTCCAAAACAAGGGTGTTTTGATTTGGCATGACTATGGTTCAGAACAGTTTGAATGACGGAAGTCACAGATACCCACTGTCTGCCATTGCTTTCTCAGATTTGTACCCGACACTGGTCCCTCAATGGTTTGGATTTTGCCCTTTTGCATCTCTTCTAGTTGCTCAGCTCTCCTTCAGTGCTTCTCCTTCTGTGATAGTTTAGCTTACTCAACTTCCTGTCTACAGTGTCGGTATTTTACTGTTTTCTGTGATGTTTAACAAGAGTTGATAGAACTGGATGGCAGCAGGGGTTCAGCCACTGATCTTTGGGCAGCAGCAGGATGCCTGCCTGGCACTGTTGGTGTAGTCCCCTCGCTGAAGAGGAGAACCTCTTGGTGAAAAATACAAGGCTCACGTGAGAAGAAGGCTGATTCAGAGTTCTGCCCCAGGTTGAGGGACTTTCCTTAGACTCTTTGGACTTTAACCAAAGTTATTTGGGGAGACAGCTCTGCTCAGCCTGGTACTAGCATCGCTGACACCTAGGTTATTTTGCGTTTGCAGTTTTTCTTTCCTGTGGCAATACCAAGAAAGATCTTTGGTAATCATTTTTGAAAATGTTTATTCTGTACATTAAAGGTTATAGTACGGTTATGAGAGTACACATAGTAAAACTGTTGCTAAAGTGAATCGAATTAACCTAAACCATTGTGTTGTGTTGCCCTTTTAATTGTTCTGTAACCAGAAGCTCATCTGTACATTTTTCACGATTCTGTACAATCTCATTGCATGTAGTCTTCATATTGCATACTACATGACCAGAGTTGTTCACTGTACAGTGTGTCCTGACCTAAGGCTTTCTGTTTCCTTCGTAACTTGGTTTCTTATGCATTTGTTTTTTTTTTTTAGTTCCACATAAAATTGAGACTGCAGTATTGGCAATATTTTTTACATGGTATCTGACTTACTGTATCTTCCAGACTAATCCTTGTTGTGGCAAATGAAAATCTTCTCTGTTTTGTGAGGATGAATAATACTGGAGAGGAGAGAAAATAGATGGATGATGGATGGATGGATTGATGAATTTCCTTAATGATACTGAACATCTGTTCCTGTATTTTCAGCCATTTCTATGTCTTTTGTGGAGATATGTCTGTTTAATTCTTTTGCCCATTTTTTTTTATCCAAGTGACTTGTTTTTTCTGGTTATCAGTTTATGTGTGAAAGGGTCAATCTCTTATCGAGTAGATGGTTTACAAATTATTTTCCAAGTGTATACACTGCAGTCCTTTGTGCTATTGCTCATTCCACAGTACACCTGCCTTTAGTTTAATGGAGTCATGTTTACTTATATTTGTGTGGCCTACATTTTGGCATTGACCTTCCTCCAACATCTCCCTTCCAAAAAATATTGCCAAGGCTAATGCTCAGAAGCTTTCCCCTTTGTTGCTAACAGCTTTATAGTTTCTGGTCTTACCCATACATATTTTATTTACTATAAGTAATGTTTATTGTGAGGAAGGGTAGTTCTTATGTAAGTACTTTCCTCAACTAGTGGCCATGTCCTAGCTCTCGGGGGTTTTTCAGCTGCAAGCCCACCAGAAACCACTTCCTTGTTATCAGGAACTCTTGAGGGGTCCGTGCTCAAAGCAGCTGGAAGCATAGAAAAGCAAGTTGTTTACTCTAGCAGGCAAGGGGCCATAGAACATTCAGGGTCTGAGGGTCTGCAGCTCCCAACATATAAGGAAAGTCTGAATCTAACTAAGACTTCCAAGTCTTCCCAAGTATAGAAGTAGTTTTTACATGACATGAACAGAAAAGACGATGTGAGGAGGTGTCTGTGGAGCACTTGTGTTAGGACTGACTGACACTGAGAACCAACTGAGGATGTGAGTTCCAGACAGAACACAAAATAATTGAACATAGCACTATATAACAGATAATGCAGTTTATCATTTTTATTTTTAAATATAAATTAAAGTTGATAAAATCCTTGTTACTAATAACTTTAAAATATTCGGTGTAGTAGAATTGAATTTTTGGTTCATTTTTATTTTATTTTATTTTATTTGTTTTTGTTGAGAAATTCTCTTATATTGTAGCCCATGGTAACCAGAAACTTACTGTAGGCCTTAAACTCATGGAAGTCCTCCTGCTTCAGCCTTGCAAGTGCTGGCATTGTATGGATATGGTGCTATCTCAGCTGGAAATGGCATTTTAAAATTAATTCTGTCCTTTATAAACAAACACTTCCGTAGCAATAGTTTGACTTTCTTTTCCTTTTGGACACCATTTTAGGAAATCAAGGAGACTGAATTCCGGGGAGTTCCAATAAGTTATCTGGAGGTCCACCCCAGTGGAAAACGTTTATTAATCCACACCAAAGACAGCACACTGAGGATCATGGATCTGCGGATGTAAGTGTTTTCGTAGTAACAGGAGAAGTACTTCAGTTGGTTCCTTTATGTTTATAAAATGCAGCAATATTTTTGAGCCAGCAGTTTTGTGTACTGGGGGCATCATCTGTAGAGATTTTTTTGTTGCTTCTTCCAGCTAATGGATCAAAGTCAGAGCTGTTCCTAAGCGTGCTTTATAGCTAAGACAGCCCACATAGCAGAGTTACTTAGTGCTGTTTTAATCGCTCTGAGGCTAAAATGGAATCAGCTGTTTTTATGTTTGCAATGAAACGCAGGCACTCATACCATGAACATGGAGATACCTTTTGCTTCCGTGATACTACTGAGATTATAATACTGTGTGTTATAATACACAATAGATGGAGGCTGTGAGGGAGATGGCTTTTGGTTAATGCCTCTTTGTCTGCTTTACTTCAACAAAGGAAAAGGGTGGGAAATACCGTAATATAGAATACTAGTGGAGTATGGCAAAAACAGTATGGACTACTAGTGTGTCTTTTGTTGGTGTTAGAATTCCATGGGAAACAAAAGAGAAAGCTATCTCATGGGTTTCTTATTTTATTTAGAAATATGCATATCAGTCTATGTGAATTAATCCCACACATATCTTTTTAGTTCTATTAGCCTTTCAGTGTTTAAACATAATAGCCCAAGACCCTAGCATGGGTACTGTGGGAAACTAACAGCAAAATTACTACATCTGGAGCTTATAATCTAGTCATTACCTTTCACATTACAACAACAACACTTAGATTAAAGCTTGAGATCTGGAATCTGACTTTGAGGCCAGCTTGGTCTACAGAGCAAGTGCCAGGAGAGCCAGGGATACACAGAGAAACCCTATGTCAAATAAACAAAAAACTTGAGATCTGGTATTGGAATCTGAATATTCCTTTTTCTATACTTTACATCCATGGCATACCAAATAAATAAGTCACCTCTCAATATGTGTATCTTAATAAATATAAATGTAAGGTATAATTACTGTATATGTTAGAGCAACAATAAAGGTGAAAGCTGTAATTTAGCCTCTCTATTAAGGTTCTATTGAAAGACTAGCATTTGAGTTCAGTCCTGAAGGATGGATAACTTAGATACGATAGAGGTTTTCAGAAGGGCAGAGAATGAAACAAAGTGCAGACTGGGGATGTGCTCAAGGCAGATGGGTAGCCCAAGCAGAGGTTTCTTGACAAGGAATACTAACAGGGAAGTTTTTTAAAAATAGAAAGTAAGGTCAGGCGATGGTGGCACATGCCTTTAATCCAAAAACTCAGGAGGCAGAGGTAGGTGGATCTCTGAGTTTGAGGCCAGCCTGGGCTACAAGAGCTAGTTCCAGGATAGGCCCCAAAGCTGCAGAGAAACCCCATCTCAAAAAAGAAAAAACAATAGAATGTAGGACTGGATTAAGAGACTAAATTATTCCCTTTTAAAGCCCTATAATATCATACCTGGGTTCATAGGCAGGAAAAGAGTCAACTGCTACTTTTTCTTCCCCTTCCTCGTTTCTCAGGTGGGAGAAATAGTGTATCCTGTCCCTAAGGCTTTGTGGAGGAGTGGGAGAGTCAGTAAGTAGAGTGCTGACAAGAAGCACTGCAAGGACTCCAGAAGTGTCTCACTCAGTAACTCGAGGACTGGAAATTTAGATTGAAAATGTTAAAATATAAATACATATACATGCGGCAAGATTGTCATGGTTATGTTCATGGTAGGAGAAAGCAAAAACTACACTGAACGTTGTCAAACAGTGGAACATTTCTTAAGATACATCTAGACAATAACCTAAGTCCATTGACATATGCAGTCTGAGTTACCTGACACCCTGTGAGCGCTGAAACAATGTCAGCAGTTGCTCTAGGTGAGAACATCTAGGTAGTTTGTATTACATATATTTCTCTTTATTATGAGGACTCAGCAGAGGAGAGAAGAAATGGGTCACGGAACATGAGAACTACTTTTGTTTCTTGAGTTTTCATCACAGAATGCCTAAATTCAGTGTTTACAATGAACATTTCTCCTCCACTAGTCTTTAAACGGTTACGATGGGTTACATTTGCACGTGTTTGCTTGTTTATAGACTAGCAGCAAGGAAATTTGTCGGAGCCGCGAATTACCGGGAGAAGATCCATAGCACTTTGACCCCATGCGGGACTTTCCTCTTCTCTGGGAGTGAGGATGGAATAGTGTATGTTTGGAACCCAGAGACAGGTAACTGTTTATTGATCTTGAAAAAAATCTTTTAGGGAATGGGATAGAAAGTTTAAAGTATGTGAAAACTATGGTTTTTTATATTTTTAAGAAAAATCTGACTTCATGTTTTAAATCTGACTTTGTGTTTTAAAATTGGGTAGTATATTCGTTACTTTGCTCATCACGGTAACAAAACCCCTGAAAGAAGCATTGTCAGGAAGGAGTGATGTGCTTTTAGCTTGCAGCCCCAGGGATATAACGTCAGTGGTGAGGAAGGCATACTGGGCAGGAGCAGGAGTTTGCTGCTCACCTTGGTGAGCTGGAAGCAGAGAGTTTAGGGCTGAGGAAATAGTTCAGTAAATAAAAAAAGGTGTTTGCCATGTAAGTGTGAGGATATAGTTTGAATCCCCAGAAACCATGTAAAACCAGAATCAGTGACACCTATCTGTATCCCAGCATTCCTATGGCAAAAAGGAGGCAGAGGTGGAGAAAACACCAGAAACTCTTGGACCAGTTAGTCTGGCCTCTGAAAAGGCAAGTAAAGGATTCGGTCTAAAATAAGATATAAGGTGAGGACACCCCCCGCCACACACACATACAGAGGGAAAGGGAGAAAGAGAGAGGAAGGGAGGGAGAGAGAGGGAGGGGGACTGACTAGTGAACAGGACATAGGACTACTAGAAAACTTCTAGGTCCATCCTCAATGCCACCTCTTCCACCTCCTCTTCCTCCATCTCCTCCACCCCTCCTCTAGGTCCTCTTCCACCTAAAGGTTTCAGAACCTTCAAAAGCAGTACCAGCTGAAAGCCAAGTACTCAAATATTAGTACTTGAGCCCACAGGGAATGTTTTTTATCAATCCACAGCAGATAGCTTTCGATTAAATTCATTTGTATCTAAATACATATTAAATTTGTTCTTGATTGCTTTAATGTCCTTGTAAATTTAGAAATTCACATTATAAATCCAGATTTATTCTTTCTGTACCTATAAGATAGTGCAGATGCTTGAAAAGTATTTCATGAATACTGTAATTCAAAATACTGAACACTGTAAGCTGAATTGTAAGTGGGTAGATAGGTGGGTGAGCACTGATGAATGTTTCTGGTGCCTTTTGACTTCTGGCTGATTTCCTAGGTTTCAGTGACTTCTGTTTGTATCTTCTAGCTCTAGACATAAGACAGACCTTTCAAGTAGCTAACACCTCGGCCTCTAGGAGAAAAAGTAAAACAGAAAAATTGAGCCTTTGCCAATTCTTCCCTGTCTAGGGAATTTCTTCAACTACAGAGTTTTATGATCCCTCCCCAGTTTTGCCAAATTCTTTGTTACTTACAGTTTCCTCGCTTTTCTCAGGTCTCTCTCGGGCATACATACCTGTTCCCATCAGAACACTTCATGTGTATTTGGTTTCCCCAAAATTGAAAAGCTTGGATTAAAACACAGAAAAAAGCCAGTAAAATACAAAATAGAGATAATTATTCATCACAGTGGTGCTCAGCACCTACAAGTATATGAACTTTTTATGCAAATAATTTGAGCCTCGTTCTGTATTTTTATGTAAGATACAGAATAATCTTGGAATGAGAAATATGTGACATAGTACACGTTGCTTTATTTCTTTTCTCTTTAGGAGAACAAGTAGCAATGTATTCAGACCTGCCATTCAAGTCAACTATCCGAGACATATCCTACCATCCGTTTGAAAATATGGTTGCATTTTGTGCATTTGGGCAGAGTGAGCCAGTTCTTCTTTATGTTTATGATTTCCATGGTAAGTCTGCTGCTTATGCAGATGAAGTAATGGTTACTTTATAATGGACCAGATAGCATGAGCACTATAAAGTTTATTAGCGTCCTTTAAATTAACATAGTCTTTTTGACTATACTATATAAAAGAGCCAAAAAGATGGCATAGGTTATTACAAAGATTATTTGGATTTATGTTGTTTTTTAAATATTTATTTTCTGAAATTAGGATTTTGCTTTTCTAATTGTACAATATTTCTCAGAAATATTTTATAACCTTCATATATTAATTGTAAAAAAACAAAGTCTTTTTTATTCTCTTTGCTTTAATTTGACTATAATATAACATCATTCGGTATTTTGATAAACTAGAGTGATATATATATATGTATATAGTAATTATATACATGTAAGTGTACAATTGTGTAGGTGATATTATTGTAAAGCTGTAAACATACTTTAATGAAATATGTTGAATTTTCTAAAGCTATGATACATGTGATTAGACAACTGAGCTGTTATAACCCTGAAGGTTTTGTTCGTGGTACAGATTATAGTATACATTTCCCAATAAATTATCTTAAAAATGAATACAGGAAATGAAGGTTTTTCTCTTATTGATCCTATAAAGAAGAAATGATTTCTGCATTCCCACTCAAGTTTAGGAACTGCTGAGGCTAGTGATAGAGCAGTCAGGCAACGGACACCATTTAGGTGTACTAGCAGCTGTTAGCAAAGTTGTGCTTCCTTGTTACACAGTTGGCCAAATGGGTTTCTCAGGTCACCCAGTGTCCAAAGCTTGACGTTTCATTCTAAGAAGTATCCTGAAACAGTCACCTGCTCCATTCTAGCTTTCCCATAGACAAAAGAATTGCCCCTAATTACTATATAATTGGAACTACTGTCCAGGAAAAGAGAGCACAGTTATTGCCTCAGAGTCTTAGGCGATTTCACAACCATCTTCATTCAGTTTATAATTTGTTTTTTAAACTTTTGAAATTTCACTGCAAAGATTAGTTAAGTTCCGCTCTGTTTTTGTCTTCAAGTAGCTTCCCTCTCTTCATTGCTAGAAGAGTCCCTTGGCTCAGAAAGAAGGAGGTGCTTTAGCTGGACAGTAGCACGGATCTCAGGGTCTGCTCATGTCTGTGACCTTAGCTACTGACTCCTACCATTCTGACCTTCCATTCTTTCATCTCTTGAAAGATACTTCTAGTAATAGCCGCCCCCGCCCCCAAAGAGAGCTCTAAGGACTCCAAGACAGTGGCTGTAATGGTGCACTCTAGTTGAAGAAACCAAAATTAATATTTGTGTTTATGCTCATCCACCAGTAGCCATGTAACTTTACAGGAATTTATGCTTTAACAGCCGGTAGCATCTCTCTGTGGAATGGAATTGGAAAAGACAGTCTTCCCTTTACTCTGTTAGTCAGCTTTTTCTATTATTAACCCACATGCCATCCCGGCCCATCTGTACTACAGCATTAAATACAGAAGGTTAAAAGCTTGTTGTATCCACATTGTCTTAGAGTGCAGGAGGAAGGATTTGGGTGAGCATCTCAGAAATGATGATATCTGAGTAACAGCACATGAAAGCAGTTAGTTTATGCAGCATATTTAAAGCACAGGTTTTGATCTAATACACCTTTACAAAAAGAATTAATTAATACACCTTTACAAAAAGAATTTAAGCTGAAAATATTTCAACATATTCTCCAAACTCTTTGTTGCCTATTTTTAAAAAGGGGAAGCTTAGGAAGAAGTTAAATAACCTCAAGCCATCTAAGACTTGGTACAGTTCTTTTGAATAGTATAGATACAACAGAAACAAGAGTTATTTCAGTCTCTGAAGGATTTTACTCATTGAATACAGACTGCAATCAGTGGTTTATATAATCTTTACATTTTTAATTAAAATTTTAATGTTTAATTAACCTATTACTGTTTTGCCCTATACTTTATTTTTTAACAAAGGTATTTTGCTCAAAATGTATTTTCTGAGAATGAAGTTCATATGTGGTTTTACTAAGTTTTAATGATATACAGTTCAAAAGAAACAGAACGGCTAGGTTACTTTAAAATAGCTTCTGAAATTTTCAAGGAAAAAGAAGCAGTTCATTTTTTTTGTAAGTTAAATAAGCTCCAGAAGAGACCACAGCGGTAGCTAAATGTATCAGCTTCTTTCAGTTCTAGCAGAACCTGTGAAGAGTCAGCAGGAGTCTTTCCCTGCTAAGCATATGTTCAGCTTGTGGTCTTTTCAGTCTTTCATTCTACTGACTTTTTGCTTTTTTTTTGGGTAAGAAATATGATTTTTACTTTCAGAAGGCAGTCTTATTTGCCTGGTGTTGAAAGGGTTAATCATCTAGTAATACAAAGTTTAGTCACAGGGTACCACAAATAATGTACACTGAGGATTCCCATAACAAAGTGCTGGGCAGAGAAACGGTTTCTGCTGAATTAACTTTATGAAGCCAGACTTTAGCAATAAATGTTTTGTTATTAAACATTGTTTGTCTACTTATGTCTCTGTAATGTCGCTACATTATTTAAGAATAATTATAGTGCCTACATAGCACTATGTTTTAACAACTTTGTGTGTGTGCATGTGTTTAAATTGTTCACAATGGTTTTATGATATAAATGTTTTCACACTGTGTCACAGGATATAGGAGTTGAATCAATATAGACTGTTCTTGAAATCTGGACTCTTATTTGCCCACTAAATTTACTTACTAGCAAATGACCTAATGAATTCACTTTTGAATATTAAAACTTTTCTGTCAGTTTCTCTGTGGGATATTAATTTTATGGCATCTTTATGCCTTGTAGGAAGCAATATAGACTTGTTCATTTGTTTATTACTAGTACCTAGCCTGAATAGTGACATATACTGACTGTTTATGCAGTTTCGTGAGTAGGGTCAAGTCTGTTTGACAAACTCTTAATCTTGTTGTTATTCCTAGGTAAGGAGCCTGAGTTCTCACTAGGTGGCAGTGTCTCCTCTGAAGGACTGTTAATATTGCCTTTCTGAGGCAGTAGGAACCTTTTGAAGCACTAGATACTCTATAAAACCAGGAATCAGACTCAGATTTTCCTGCTTATTGCTAGCCTTTATTCTTTTAAAGGCTTTATTCTTTATTTTTTTTTAACATAATTGGTTAAAGTACTGGAAAAACTTTAGTCAAACTGATAGACCATTCCTACAATTGAGAATTTTAGAAATAAAATTTGTATTCATCAGTGATCTGCATTGTCACTATGGTGGCTTTATTTTTTACACCATGGAACACTTTCCCATAGTGCAGGAAATACACATGTTTTAGTTTGTAAAATTTGTTATAGCTGAGCACAGGTGCATGCCTGAAATTGTAGTACTTGGCAGATAGAGACAGGAGGGTTATGACGCCTAAGTCATCCTGAGGTACATAGAACATTTAAGGCTAACCTGTACTGGAGGAGACCCCATCTCTCAAGCTGATAATTGCCTATAGTGTTTATAAAGTACTAAGCTTAGCATAGTTTCTGTTCAATACATGTTTGCATTAAAAGTTAAAATTCTTATGCAATAGAATTATTTCTTAAATTTTATGAAAATATAGATAGGCATCATTAGTAAATTTGATATCATGTGCTTTCAAATAGAATACTTCCAAAATACTTGAAAAAGATTGTCACCTTTTTGCAGATAGTGAAACTCAAGCTACAGAAGAATAAAGCAATAGTTCTTGGTACAGATACCATTTGGTTCTAGGCTGTCTGGCTGTTGTCTTCACGATAAGATATTCGTATCTAGGTGATAGGAATTTAATAGCCACAGCTAGTGTATCATTTATGCTTCTAAATCAGGCTCAACTATTATAATTATCATGTTTTTATGAAATTTTACCAGATAGTACTGATTATAGGATGGAATTTTTAATATTTATTTTTAGCCTGGTTGAAGACATTAAAAATGAAATCTGCCACATTTTAAGGTTTGATGAAGATGCTTTATTGTATTCTGAAGTATTTATTATTTCTCATATAATAGATTCTTGGCTTTTAAAACCAATAACATTCAGTGACTAAGAAAATATCAACATGATGGCCTTGAGCATCAACAAGAACTATGAATTCTTCTCTGGGCCTTTTTTATGCTTAACTGGGTGCCCTGTAAAGTACAGCAAAGGGACGATGTGACCAAGGCTGACAGCAGCGTGGCAGGGGCTCTGCCCAGGAGGGATCACCTTGTCCAGCCCTCATCTAATAATTTCACTTTATGTATTCATCTTCTTTCTAAGCTGTGGAGTGACACTAATACACACTTAATCTCACCTCCATATTTTACCAGATGGTCCAGTGAGACTATAAAGCAAGGCATGAGCTTAGGAACTGACAAAGGTCATGGCCCAGGCTTCAGTAGGCAATGTTGGTGGTCTCTCTGTAGCGGCCCACGTCACACACTTCCAGCTGCGCAGTATAATGTGGCTAGGAAGACAACAGGAAGGAGCAGCACTTACTGCAGGGCTTTTGCAGGCAGCCTGTGAAGACAAGCTTTGACCATTTCAGGTCCTAACATTCTTTTAAGTAAATACAGTTGCCACCTTCATGTTCCTGACCCTTGTCCCTTCCTCTGCCGTGTCACTTAGTTCCCTGCAGTAACTGGTTCACCTCCAAGAGGTTGGAACCCCAAAAGGAGTCTTTGTTCTCCAAGCCTGCTTTAGTACATGTGTGTGGGGATTTTTTAAAAAGGGATGAAAGGGTGAGGATGAAAATATTAAAAATGTGAGCTTTAACATAGCAGGTTAGATCAGAGCTGAGTCTTAAATGGACAGAATTGATTATCACAAAGAAAAAAATGTGATAAAATAGAAAAAACAGGGCTATCTAATTGCAACATGATCTCTAACTGGAGCCTAAAAGTAACTTGGAAGCCTCCAGATTATTATAAGTATAGAGCTTGAAGGAAAATTCAAATGTTATCTATTGCCAACTATTTTACCCTGAAAACTGGATGCCTTAAGCGGTTGTGTTCATCTGTGTTTGTGTGGTATGGGGACTGAAGCACTCACAAGCAGTGTCTGTGTGTAGTCTGAGAAAGTACGCTTCGTGAATACTTGTGCAGACTGTGATGGCCCTCGTCAAGGAGCGGGGATGCTGACTTGGTGATACAGTTGGGTATTGAAATGACTGCTTGAAGTCCAGCTTTTTATATAAAATGTTAACAGGGCTTCATGGAAATAAATGCCCATAGGGTATTTGGAGTTTTGTTATTTTACTCCATTTAGAATAGTTTAGTACCATTGCTAAATATGTCTTACTTCAAAAAAATTTAAAGACATGTTTAGTCAGTGCCTTTTGCTATTTGCTATTTTTATCAGTTTAAAATCTTCTTTGAAAGAGAAAAGGTAGTACATATTCAGTGTATCATAATACTTAGGGAAGAATGGCTTCATGAAAACTGAAAGAGAAAAATAATTAAGTCCCATTAACTTATTAGTGACACCAGTATATGTGCTTCTTGGCCATCCTTGTGACTGCTTCTCACAAGGATGAAATTGTGGTTGGCAAATACAGAATCTCAGGAAATCTAGGAAGCTAGAGTGACAGACTGTTCTTAGATGCAACTTCACATACAGCAAGAAGATAATTGAAGGTTGATAGCACAATTTTCAAAACAGAGAAGGCAGAGATCATCAAACATGATGTTCGTTGACTTTTCAGCCCTGAGAGCCGTCCCCTCTAGAGGCGGGCCTTCCACATGCCGGCACGTGGAGCACTACTCTTTAGTCTTTTCCTACAGCTTTGGATTTCCTAGGTTTTTAAAGCTATCTTTGAATAACCGAAGGTGAAGTAAATGTTCTTGTTACTCTAGAATAATTTAAAAATATATGTAAAAAAACTGGAGTCAAATGCGCAAAAAGAAAAAAATTGATGTGCAGTGGCAACTTTTGCACTTATGGACAGATAATTGGTACTGAGGAATTGTTGTCATCAACAGTTGGGATAGTCAGCAGACCTGCTCCCAGGGCCCTGTCCTCTGGAACTCATCCAGCATGGTCTCAAGAGAGAACTCTAGGCATTAACTGGCTCTTCTCTTGGGTTTGCATAGATGAAGTTGTGTATGGATATTAAAGTCCGTGTTTTCTACAGGCACTGTATCTCACAGATGACTCTTTTACTGTAAGAAGCCCATGTTTGTGCTCATACTGTGTATACTACTTTAGAATCTGGCGTGATGCTTCTTGCCTTTAATCCCAGTACCCAAAGAGGCAGAGGCAGAGGCAGAGGCAGACAAATTTATGTGAATTTTAGACACACCTGGTCTGCATAGCAAGTTCTAGGACAGCTAAGGCTACATAGAGAGATCCTTTCTCAAACACACACATACTCACACACTTTTAAACCTACTTTTTATTATTTTATGGTAATAACTGTATTTCTGCACTTGATAATCAGTGGTGATATTCCATGATACTGCATTTTACCTCTCTCACCAACACATACATCAATAATTTATTTAAATAATTTTAAACAGTAATTGTGGTATATGTTTAAGTGCATACCTTTCTTATCCATTTTTTTCCTTAGGAACAATTGTCTTGAAGTACATCAGTCAAACAGGAAAAAAGACATACTTTTATTTGTATTTTTCCTACTGTTTTCTTCTTTGTTAGCTGTTTGCTATATAGTTCTTCTTTTGCAATGTTCTATAGTTCTTTGTTTTCCTATTAGATTATTCATTTTACCTGGATTGTTGTGGGTCCTGTCCGCATATCAAAAGCAGTTACCCACTTTCATCTTTGTTGTGCCATTTGCTGTGTGTGTGTGTGTGTGTGTGTATGCAACTTTATTGGGATCATATACATACAATATATTGTCTGGATCTTAAATATGTGCTTTGATAATTTATGTACTTGCAAGGCCATCACCTCAAATCAAAACAATGAGCATACCTACCATTCTTGAGTTGCTTTCTGCCCTATTTTAATTGCTTTCCTCCCCTTCTCATTCCTTGAAAGCACTCTGGGCTGGTTTCCATGTTCCAGAATTTTTTTTAATAAATGATGCTGTATATACCTTGAATTCTTTTAAGTCTGGCTTTTTCATTCTTAATTATTTTGAATTTCATTTATGTTTTATCGTTTATCGATAGCTCATACTTTTAATTGCAAAAGTCACATTTCCCCTTGAAGTGTTCCAGCTTCTTCAGATCCTTGCCAAATCTGAAATGGCAGGTCTTTGTCATTTTAGCCAGTCTGACAGACAGACTTGCTGCTATGCCCTAGTTTTGATCTGCGCATCTCCGCTAACTGGGGATGTTGACTGCTTTCTTAGGTGCCTGTCTGCCATCTTTGGAGCTTCTTCAGTATCCGTTTACATTGGTGACCATGTTTTGTTTTGCTTAAAGTTTGCTTCTTTCCTTTCTTTTTTTTTCAGTTTTGATTTGAGAGTTCTCTATGCAAATGCTCTCTGGAATATGATTTAAATATTCCTCCCAGTGTTTATCCTGTCTTCTAATTACTTTAACATCTTGATCAGCAGAAGTTTGAAATTTTGAAGTACAGATTATCAGTTTGTCCTTTCATGGATTTTAATCCTGTATCTGAGAAATTTTTGCTTACTCAAAGCTCCAGATTGATTTTTCTGTGTTTCATTCTATAACTTTCATAACTCTTATGTTTGCTGTTTGAATCTGTGCTTCATTTTAATTTTAATACATGCATGAAGTATGGACCAAAGTTCATTCTTTTCACATAAAAGTGTCCAACTGTCCCAATGCCATCTGATGAAAAGTTTGTCCTTCACAGTCACCTTTACTCCTTGTCTCTATATGCGATGGGTTCTGTGTTTTGTTGATCTGTTTACCATTATGCAACAGCTAATTTTGTTTAGCCATCCAGTTAATTTTTGTATATTCCTTTCATGTTCTGCAACTTAACTGAAGTCAGTTCCTAACTCTTGTGGCTTATGAGTATTTTTTGCTTGTTTGTTTGTTTTTATTTCATGCAGATATTTTTTCAGAGATATAGACCTACTATTAAGGAGTCAATGCCTTCCTAAATTTTGTTCCTTAGGTGCCTTTGTTTTCTCTCCTGTCTTATATTACATAGAAAAGTATTTCTTGCAAAGAAATCTGTTAATTTTTCCTCTCATATGTTTTGTTCATTATTTAGTGATTTCAGGTTCCCTTTATTCCATTTTTATCCTGAAAGATAAAAAGTCATTGCCTGTCATTTTCTTTTCAACTTCTAGCCTTGTAGGACTTCATTTGTCTGAAGATTTAAATGGTTATGAAACAATTTTGATCCTATTTTTTCATAATAATATTTGTATTTCCTAACTTTTTATGACTCACATAACCCTATAATGGATAATCTATGAAATATAATAAATCTTTTTCTGAAACATTCGCACAGATATGCACACACACATACCACCTCATGTTTCTGTTTGTAAATTTAGGAGTATACAGAATATAATCACTTGTACATTGATTTAAGGTTTTGATTTCTTTCCTTTCATGTCATTTTTAGAAAGCCCTCCATTTCAGTATTGTATAATTAAGAAAATAGTTTTTAAATGATAACTTTATGTATTTTTCTCCTTTGAGTTAATTTTTTCAGATTTATTTATCCAGTCAAGTAAGAGAGTGTATTTGAGTGCATTTTATGAACCCTAAAGTGCAGTGAAGATGTTCCTCTCATCACAGGTTACCATAGTTACCATAGTTATAGTGCAGTGAAGATGTTCCTCCCATAACTAGTTACCATGGTTACCATAGTGCAGTGAAGAAGATCTTCCTCTCATCACTGGTTTCCATAGTTGACCACTATTCTCAAAAAACACTCACCACTCAGGCCTCTGTCTCGATCTAGGGATTTAATTCAAAACAAAAATTATGTTCAAAAATAAATCCAACTATGAAAGTAATTTTTCATGCAATATCTACAACATGAAAAGACAAAATATTGTAAATATTTAATGACAGGAGAGTGTTTTAGAATTATAATTCTTATGTATTATAAAACATTTAAATGGTAATTAAGTTCTAAAAATTTGAAACCTTTTGTATTTAAATTGACAAAAATTTAAACTATACTTACATTTTGATATTTTACATAGATATGTATAAAACTGGAAGAGATAAAAATGGTTTAGGCCTATGTATTTTTGAGTGATTATTTTTATCATTTTGCATCATTAGTAAATATTTGAAATATATATGTATGTATGTAAGTATATATTAAACTTATATTTTAATTTGGATTACCTTCAAAGATCAATTATAAAATTGCTTGATGTGAAATTATAAATTTTCCTTGATTTCATATTGCCTACAAATTTTTGTCTTGCCATTCTTGAACCTAGCAATTAAAATGTACTGTTCAATTTCTGACTGTTTGTTAAATGTTATCATTTCATGGCTTAAATATTTGATTGTCTTTTTGCTAATTTTAGGTTCTTTTTTTCTTTTTAGTAGCCCAGCAAGAGGCTGAAATGTTCAAACGCTATAATGGGACACTCCCATTGCCTGGCATCCATCAAAGTCAGGATGCTTTGTGCACCTGCCCTAAACTGCCCCCTCAAGGCTCTTTTCAGATTGATGAATTGGTCAACACTGAAAATAATTCATCAAGAAAGATTCAACTTGTGAAGCAGAGACTCGAAACTGTCACAGTATGTTTATTTGTTTGTTTATGGTAGTTGAAAATTTAGAACCATTTCCTTTACCGTGCCAATAAAGATTAACATAAGGCAGGTAGATTTTTTTTTTTTTATTCTTATGTAGTTCTTTCCAAGTAGTAGTTAGGAAGCTGTTATTTACAGCATACAAAGTTAAGTTTGGTCAACTCATCATACTATTAGGACTTGACATTTCTTTAGAGACCAGGTCAAGACATAATAAGGAAGGATTCTGAATCAAAGAATCATACCTAGCACTTGTCACACACATACAATTTGATTTCCTAGGAAAGGAAGAGAAACCACCATGTGAGCTCTGCATAATAGGATCATCAATGGTAGGGCTATTAGGTTTAGACACTCGTCCTATGAATTCTCCCTGCCAAAACTTCTAGAGAAGTGGTTCTCAACCTTCCTAATGCTGCAAACTTTTAATACAGTTCCTCATGTTGTGGTGACCCACCAACCATAAAATTATGTTCATTGCTACTTCATATTTATAATTTTGCTACTGTTATGAATTATGATGTAAATATTTTAGAGAAAGGTTTATTGAGGGGGTCACAGGTTGAGAACCACTGTGAAATTAATTCATAAGAGAACAGATAATACTTAAACAAGATATTTCAGTCCATGCATTCAAATCCTTGTAATATCTTTCTAAAAGCTTAAGTTTGAGTGTTTCTTGAACTTCAATGTACAGCAGAGTCATCTATCAGGCTTATTAAAGCATTAATTGCTAAGCTATATTCCTAAATATATCTGGCTTAGTCTATCAGTTTTCATTTCTAGAAAGTTTCCAGGTGCTGGTCAGGGCACTCTCTGTTGAGAGCAGCTAGTCTGGTTCAATCCATAGCATATAAGAAAGTCATACATCAACTTGTCTTCACTGTAATCTCCTTGAAGGCACCCCTGATTGTTTTTAGCATATTTATATCCTGGGTCTACTAAGCTGATTTTCACAACTCAGTATAGGTAGATGGTTGAGGGAAAAATTTGAATTCCTAAACTTCCCTATAATCAGAGGTTTCTCTGCCCCACCTAGCAGTTTCCGAATAACCACACAGAGGCTTAATATTACTTATAAATGGTTGACTAATAGCTCAGGCTTACTTTTAGCTATCCCTTATATTTAATTTAATCCATATTTCTTATCTATCATGGCTTGTTACTTATTGTAGCAGATGTGTAACATTGGCACTATAGTGCTTGGTACCCTTGTTCTATAAACAAAGCAGCTATTAACTCTTTGTATTCAAAAGACAGGTTTCATAGATTTTTCAAGTATAAATAGTACAAAATTTATTTTAAAAGAATTCCTACATAAAAAGCTATAATAACTAATTTTTGTGTATGTGGCTGGTGATCTTCTGCTTGTGCTAAATGACATAGTATAATTTTATATGTAAACTATTACATAAGGCCAAGAAGTCATTAAAGATAGAAGCAGAAGAAAGTACTGCTCAAAATTATAGAGACTTTAATGGAAAACAAGAATAGTCAATAATGTTAAGTATATCAGGACAAATTGCCCTTTCAGTCACTAAAAACTAGACAGAGGGATACCAAATTCCATTTGCATTCAGTTGAATGGCATAATGTCAGTCCACTAGAAATAAGTTTGGGTTATGACTCAAAAAATGTAATTTATTCTTGATACTTAAAGTTTTATTTGGAATGTTATGGTGTCTGTTGGGGTGTTATATTGCTACCCACATTTTATAGTAACTTCATCTAAACTCCATTGATATATATGTATATATTTTAGGAAGCTGCTTCACAGATAGGCTTCTTTGTGACCTTTTAGAAGTCCTTAGTGCCAGTTATCCCTTCCCATGTTGCCCCCATCCTTGTCCTCCCATTTCCCACCCCACTTAACCCCCTTTTATGATTTCTATGTTATCCCACTATAGCACTACATTTCCCCTTCCTTGAAAGATTCCTTTCTTCCCCAAACCATTACTAGCTCCCTAACTTCTGTTGATATTCTAAGTGAAACTCATGTATGGAGCTGCATAAAACCTTCTGGACAGACTGAAATGAGAATGTAAAAGTAGATAGGCATTCATGGAGAAATGATAATCTCATTTAAAGAAAGAGTGCCGTTTAATGAATGCTGTGAATTTCAAGACTGTGAAGATGAGTCAGTGGATAAAGTGCTTACTGCACAATCATGAGCACATAAGTTCAGTTCCTCAACACCCACGTTAAAGCTGCCATGCATGGTGATGTGTGTCTGTAGTCCCAGTACTGTGCAGGCAGAGACCACAGGCTCCATAGAGCTCACTGGCCAGCTAGACAACCAATCACTGAGCTCCAACTTCAGTGGAGACCCTGTCTCAAAAATAAGGTGAAGAGCAATAGAGGCAGAAATCTGACATTTACCTCTCTCTGATCTCCAGATGTACACCTCTGCCTACAAATGTGCATATGCCACATACACACACACACACACACACACACACACACACACACACACACACACATTTATGACTGTACACATTAACAAGAAAAGGGTATTATAGGCAAAACATCAGAAACAGCAACTTAGATTGTGTTTTATTAAATAGAATAAATCAGAATATTTATTAATGATGTCCAAAGGTGGTCTGAGAATTTCATTTAAAAAGACACCCTGGATAAGATAAAAATAAAGGAATTTCAAAGACAAATTTTTAAAAATCTCTGCAATGCAAATGGTAGGAGGAAAGTTGACACTTAAAATACCCAGTTACTAAGATAAGTGGGGGACTGTTTTCAGCAGCATGCTAAAAATGCATGTAAAGGAGCAGCGGGTATCTCTAGGGCCCAAGGGCTTAGACTAACCATGCTTGCTCTGTGACTCTTGAGTACATCAAGTAAGCCTAATCTTCCTCCCTGAACGTTAGGGCTCTAATATACCTCACCTTAACTGAACTTCAGAGATTCAGTGAGGTCCTGAATGCAAGGCTTTCTGAGTTGTCTAAGATATAGTGTAATAATGATAGTTGTTAATTTTGATAAGAACAGAAGTATGTGCATGAAATAATCATGTATATTATTGATAAGTGGTTTCAAGAGGCAAACCATGTATATATTAATGATAGTGACCTGCCACGAAGTATTTTCAACTACTCCAGATGAGCCAGGTAAAAGAACAGATAAGAATTAAGACAGTTTTTTTCTTGCCAGATATTTAAATATATCTTTAAGCTAATATAATATAAATATTGTGATGCAAATTCATAAAACTAGATATACCAGAAGGGAAAAGGAATTATAATTTTAGGAAGCATAAGCATAAGTTAATTGAAGAACATACATGTTAGGTTACATATGCAAATAGAACTTTACTGACCAAGAAGTTAAATAAGTAGTTAATAACTAGGAAGACGGGCATAAAGTTCAGTGACGGAGCACTGGCTTACTATGCCCAGAGCCCAGGGTTCAATATGCATCACCTCACCACACACACCCCAAACCTAGGATTATGTGCTGACTAGTATTTCTCTTATGTAAATGGATGAAAGACTTGCTAGTCTTAAAATTAGTAATTGTCCCCAGATATGAATAAATTGTAGATTTCTGTTTAATAAATATAAATGTATATATGTGTAATATATAACATGATACATACACATATATACTTTCATATATGTGGCAAACACCAACATAGAAAAATGTTAAGATGTATTAAAGAAAATCTTATTAGCTTATAAGAACACACACACACACATTTAACATTAAAAGAAAATAGTAAAACCTCAAAGAAATGATAAAAGAAAAAACTTGTAACTTCCAAGTAGAAATCAATATTTCATAACCATATTTTGAGGTTTCTTTTTTACCCTTAAGTGCCAAAGAAACCAGCTATCACCAGGACAATCGTGAAAATAGGGACAGGGAGGGGACTTTGTTCACAAGGTGTACTGTTAGCATAGCTCCCTAAGCGCTCTCTCTCTTTCTTTCTCTCTCTCTCTCTCTCTCTCTCTCTCTCTCTCTCTCTCTCTTTCAAAAAAAAGTGTTAGGATGGGTTAAGAAGCTTAAACATTCTGAAGAATAGTAGCCTCTTTGACCTTGGTCCGTTAGATAATGTTAACCTTGGGCTCCTTGAAAGCCAACTAAGCACCTTGCTCATGGGCTGTTGTTTTCTCTTCAGCTGGCACCGGACCTGGCTCTTAATACATGTTATCCCCCCCCCCCTTGGTTCTCTCCTCGACCACTTTTAAACCCAACCTGCCAGGAATGGTAGTGCAAGCCTTAGTCCTTGCCATGCTGCTCCCTTTCTCCTTCTGCGGGGGGTGTACAGGGTACACTCTTCCCTGGGTGTAGATTTAGTCAGAAAGTAGGGTAGAGGGTGATTATATTTGTTTCTGTCTTTTTTTATATTATTCAGTTAAAATTAAGAATATGCAACTTTAAGTTATTTGTTTCAGTGTTTTGGTTCTTACATATTTTTAGCGTTTTTAATATACCCAATCAGATGTGTTCCACATAGTAAAAGGAATTATAATAGCTATGATACTCTTTAAAATTTAGAGAAAAATACATCTCCAATAGAAGAAAATAAAATAAAAGGAGCCCTTGTCTGTGTGACAAGGTTTTGTAGACACAAGAGCCAGTAGGCACTAGACATAGTGGCACTCTCCTGTAATCTCTCAGTCTGAAAACTGACATCTTGAAGGTACCTAGCTCTTGTGGTATGCGTTCTGATATCATTTTATATCTTCAGATAATGGAAACAAAAATTAAACAGATGTAAAAGAAAAATAATGTCAAAAATATTTTTAAGAAATTAAATCCAAGGCAGGAGAAATAGTAATTTTATGAGAGAAAATGTATATGTTTTTAGTTGTTCATCTTTGAGCACATAGTTCCCTTTTAAATCAGAAAATGTGTATGTCTTGAGTTAATACAAAAGCTGCCTTTGGAAATAAATCTTTGTCCAGTGTCTGTGACAAGAAAAGAAAAGAAAAGAAAAGAAAAGAAAAGAAAAGAAAAGATTATTTCTCCTGCCCAGATATTTTACTGTTTGTTGTTTTTATGTTTTGTATGGTCCATTTTCTTTCAGTCTGTCCATAAAGTAGTATATATAAGAATAAACTAAGATGTATTCTTAGCCTATGGTACCTTCATTCTTTTTGTGTTTCACAAGCATTTAGGTTGGTGAGATTTCCTACCTCTTGTCGGAATGTTTTTTATCATGTTTCTTGTAACTATATCTTAGTAGATTACAAATACCATTTTCATTATAGATCCATCTAGCTATAGAAGATAAATAGCTCAACATAGCCTTTAAAAAAAAACTAAACTAGGAACATTTTCTAATAAAACTTGGGTTTAAGGTATTATTTGTATATATTTAAACTACGCAAATAAATTCATCTCAGCAGGCATTTAAAAGGTGTTTATTCATTAGGAAAGGACGTAGAAATAGGTGATAATCTGACCCTTAGAGATTGTCATTCAGTCATCATATAAATCATTTGTTTCAAAGTTTGCAGACCTGACAGCTGCTCCCACAGTCATACCTAAAAGGCACTCTACAGCTCAGGTGAGGCTCCTCAGGGATACACTCATTATTAACTTTTAGATTCAGAGATTTGCCTTCATGACTACATCCACAGTTGCTCAGAACTTTGGATACCTGTTAGGATTAACCAGTTTAACAAGTAACTGATCTGTTGACCTGAACCTAAGAAAAACCATCCCCAGATGACAGGCAGACCTATCTCTCTATCTGCTGGACCACTCAAGACTGCCCCAATTTTCACATTAACTTGAGCCTAGCTTAATGGTCACAGAGATCCTTGCCAAGTAGAACCGCAGACGTAAGAATGGAATGACTTTAAAATTATTTATTTCCATATTGAGAAAGGTTAATTTTTTCTATTGTAAAAGCAATTCATTCTGTAGAGTTAATGATAAGTAATATTTCATTATTAGTAATCCTTGTTGTCATGTGTTTCTGGTACTTTCTAAGTGCTTTGCGTGCTTTGTTATAGTTGCTCCTCCAACACTGTAAGATAGTAGAGCATGACTTCAGGAAGCCTATAGAGCAGTGGAATTCCCACAGACTGGACAGAGTGGAGTTGGGGTTCAGGCCAGGACTCAAGCTGGGTTCCCAGTTCTCCTATAGACCCAACACGGGGTCTGAAAGGAAAACTAGGGCTCTTCTTTTATACTTGTTTGTTACTTTGTTTATTCTAGACTTGAGGCCTGCTGTTGGTTTTTTGTTTGTTTTTGTTTTAATATACCAGGCTGATGATAAGTGTTGATTAATTCTAATTGGGGTTGAATATATTTGTTGTCTCTGTAATAGCAAATTTTCAACTTGTCTATTATTCATTGATTTTTACTACTTTCTTTTTAAAATGGATAATTATGGCTTTATCCTGTGAATTTTAAACTGTCCCTTTTCTGCTTTTAAAAATTACTTGCCCCATTCTTTATCAACTTTAGTATTTATGGGATTTTTATCAGATTAAAATTGCTAATTTGGAAATTATGAGTATTGATTCCATTTATGGTGATAACTGTGTACTTTAGCAAGTTCAGTTTATATTTTTGGCTGAATTCTGTGGTAGGACAGAATTTTGATATTTATGCCAGGCTTATTAAGGAGACCAAATCTTTCCTGAGACAACCAGAACTGGACCCTCAGAAGTTTAGGCCAGTGACTTTGTCACTGGCAGGATGGTCTTACTATAAAATGTCATTAAGTCTCTTGAATTCATACTATTTGCAGCTCATGGGAAAGAATGCAGAGTGACAATCCAGGGTGATAAAAAAAAACTTTCAAATGCTTGTTTTGGTTATTAGAAGATTGACATGTGAATGTTTTGAAAAGAGACAATACTTTATTTAAATAAAATTGTGACTCCTTCTTTATTGTACTGTATTTCCTTTAGGAGGTGATACGATCCTGTGCTGCAAAAGTAAGTAGTTCTTATCACCGGGAAGACAACTGTAAAATTACACTTTCTTTCATGCTATACTTGAGAATTGGAATGCACCTTTGTAGACTTGGCAGCTTCTACAAAAATTGACCTGATGTATACTTTTCTTATTGAACTTCCAATTACCAAAACTATAATCTCGAACCCCAAAGTTCAAGCTTCAAAGTTTTGGAGATTTAGAATCGTAGTAATCAGGATATAATTTCAGTACCAGTCCAGCACACAACAGGCACCCTCTTTTTACAAGCAAGCCCATTTTTACACACAACCTTTAAGCAGTTAAGTAGTCACAATGATAGTTGTTTACATCCTTCCCTCCTCCTTAACCACTCTCAAAATTCATCTGAATAGATAGTCTGTCATTTACCAAATAGAATTTTATGTCACATGGTAAAAGATGAGATATCTGGAAGGGAGAGAATTAGGATGACTAGAAGAGATCTTCATGCAGTGTCGTACAGAGGAAGAAAGTAGTTTGTTGAGAGAGAATTAGGGTGACTAGAGAAAGTAGTTTGTTGACTGAGCATCTGCACCAGATAGCAGGAACATGGGGTAAGACAGGCATGCCAGAAAGTACTAGGCTTACCCCACCACTGAGCTGCTCAGTATCAGTCAGGACCCATCACATTTTACCTAATTATCACAAGTCAACTGGATATCGAATATAGACAAGAGGAAGAAAGATGGGGAGGGGAAAAGGGAACAAGCTCTATTCTGACTTGGCTGCAGATGTTCAGGAAACTTGTTCCTGATAGCAGTGATTGCTATAGTGATTATAACTCCAAGATTACTAAATCTTCTTAAGTGTGTTATATATATAAAACTGGTAGCAGTTGTTCTGACTAGCCCTGACCTCTCCTTCTCCCTCTCTCCTCACCTCAATGTGTGCCATAGCCTTCTATTCTAATGCTGTCTGCAAGTCAGTTGAGTCATATTCTGTATATACCTAACCAGTATTTAAGGAGAATGTCCTCTGTTAATCTGAAAACTCACCGAGAGTGATAGGTGGCATCTTTGTCTTGTATCCCTAGCATGTAACAGATTTAGAATCAACATTCATCAAAAATGTAATTATATATTTGGAAATCAAAATTAGGAAAGATTAACATTACTAATACCTTTATTGCATGATTTTAAATAGTTTTTATTAGGATATAATTCACACATCTTAATACCGTTTTTTAAAATTTATTCTTCTCTCATAAAATACATCCCGACAACAGTTACCCCTTCCTCCACTCCTCCCAGGCTGTGCCATCTCCTCTCTCCCCCAGATATACTCTTCCTGTTTTCCTTTAGAAAAGAGCAGGCCTCCCAGGGACATCAACTGAACATGACTTAACAAGATGTAATGAGCAAGATGGCTCAGGAGATAAAGGCACAGGCCGCAAAAGTCTGAGGACCTGAGTTTGTTCCCCATGACCCATGTAAAGAACCAACTCTAAAAAGCTGTCCTCTGGCCTCCACATGCACACTGTGGTGCATGTGTGTCAATATACATTATACATGATAATACAAAATCATAATAAATTTCAAAAAGGGTGTGAGTTCACTGTTTTTAATTATATTCAGCATTATGCGAGTCCTCCTCCAAAGACACCTAATGCCTGTTAGCAGCCCTTTCCAATTTATAAACATAACATGTATTCATATAGACTCATGGTAACAGTTAAAGTGCTGTCTGTAGTTTCTGCATATTGGAAACTTCACTTAAATGGAACCATAATATGTTGTCTTTGCGGTTAGGAGTTGAGACTCATTTTGTTTTTATACAGCATTCAGCTCTGCAATCCACGCTGCCCTGATGTTCACTATGTCCCCTCAAGCTTATTGTGATCCTCCTCTCCCAGCCTCCTAAGTGCTTAGGTTAGAGGCATGAGCCACCATACCTGGCTTTAGTGTGTGGCCTTTTATGACTGGCTTCTTTACTTACGGGCGCCAAGATGTCCCCATTTATACAGTGCATCTGTGGTACGTTGTTTTTTATTTTATTTTTTATTTTTGCCAGGTATGTGTATGTTGCATTTTCCCACCTGCTCAGCAGTTTATCAGCATTCGGCTTGTTTCTGCATTTTAGCATTAAGACTATGCTGCTATGACCATGTGTTGGTATGAACAAATTTTGGTGTCGACCTGTGTTTTTTTGTCTCTGGGAGTTGGGAGTGTATAGTTTTTTTGGATCACATAATAACTGTTTTTAACATTCTGAAGAATTCTCAAACTCATTTCCTAAATGGATAAATAATTTTAGAACCTGACAAAGAAAGATATGAGGGCTCTAGTCTCTCCTCATCTTCACCAATACTTGAATTTTTTGCATTCTTTTCATTTTCCTTGCTCTAGAGTATGAGACATGATATTAATGGTGTGATTTTTGACTTGCCTTTTCCTGATACTAATGACACTGAACATTTTAGGCATGTTTTTTCTGAGAGCTTTGAAGAAATGTTTGTTAAAATTATTTGCCCATTTATTTTTTGTCTTTTTATTATTTACTTCTAGTAGTGTGATGGAGGAGGGTTATCTGTCTATTGTGTTATTTTCATTGGTCAATAAAGAGACTGCCTTGGTCCCTTGATAAGACAGAAAATTAGGTAGGCGGAGTAAACAGAACAGAATGCTGGGAAGAGGGCTATGAGGCAGAAACCATGGAGCCAGCCACCAGGTCAGACATGCTGAATCTTTTCCGGTAAGCCACCACCTCGTGGTGCTATACAGATTATTAGAAATGGGTTAATATCAAGATATGAGAGTTAGTCAGTAACTAACTCTCTAGAGATAATGGGCCAGGCAGTGCTTAAATGAATACAATTTGTGTGTTGTTATTTCCAGGGCTAAGCTAGCCGTGTGGGAGCCGGGCGGGACAAAAAGCAGGCCTGCCCGCAGCCCCTCACTATAGTAGTGCTTCATACATACAGATATCTAGATATAGAGATATAGAGATATAGATACATACATGCATACATACATACATACATGAAGACATATGTAATGGCAACTGTCTTTCAAATATAATTTCTAAAAATGTTCAATGCCACTTGTATGTTCTTCCCACCCTTTGAAAAGAAAAAAATGTTTTAATTTTTGTGAAGTTTAGTTTATCTTCTTTCTTTTATCTATCTTTTTTGTATTATATACAAAATCTTATTACCTGGCCCTATGTCTTATGTATTTACTTCTTTGTTGTTTTCTTGGATTTCTGTAGTTTTAGTTATTACATTTGGATATGTGGTTATTTTTAATTAATTTTTTATATGTGGTTTGAAAGCTCAGTTGCACCTCGTCGCATAGCTTTCCAGTTGTCTTAGTGCCCCTTATTTTAAGGACCGCTCCTGGCCCCACTGTGTGCTCTTGTCACCCTGTCACTGGTCATTGCTCTCAGCAGCAGAGCGCGTTTATGCTGTCTCTTAGATATCCGTGCTGCGTAAGCTTTCCCCAAGTACTTAATAAAAGTAAGGGTCTCCTTCTTTTTAAATCTCAGTATGATGATAAAATTTCAAACGCTCAGATTGTTTTCTGCAACTTTTTATTTTTCGTTGTTGGAGTTTTGTTTTGTTTTTTGTGAGACAGGGTTTCTTTATGTACCCCTAATTGTCCTGGAACTCACTCAGTAGACCAGGCTGGCCTTAAACTCAGATACTGACCTACTTCTGCCTCCCTATTGCTAAGATTAAAGGCATATGCCACCACCACCCAGCACTTTCTCAGATCTTTATACAAGTATTTTAATGTTTACCAATATTTTTCAAGATGCTTGGGATGTAACATTAACTAAAACACACACACACATATACATATATACATATATATATATATATATATATATATATATATATGAAGGCAAACTGAGTAAAGTAATTTCAGATAATAACTGGTAGTGAACAAAATAAGATTTTAGAATGGAGAATGGCTGAAGGGGCAGAGCCTGTTCTCTAGAGGAGGATTAAGGAAGATTTCCCAGAGAGAAACATTTAACAAACACCTAAAATCCTGAACTAGGAATAAGGATGCTGGGCTATTTAAAGATCAGAAATTATTACCTTGCTTAACTGGGTAGTGAATGGCCAAAGGCAAGCGAGGCTTTCTGACAGGGCTAGAAAGGTAAAAAGGAGTAGATTGGGCATCCTTTTAAAGAATTCTCTCAGCAGGGTGGCGTTAACGTGCTGTACTGGAGAAACAACCCAGGGTGAATGGGAGAACTGATGTAGTGGAATAAGGTCTTGCAGGCACAGTGATCAGCAGACAGTCACACTGTTCCTAGAAGAAGACATGCCGGGGAGGCCTATACTAACAGCATGAAGTTGCAAATAGTGAACAGGGAAGATAATGTTACGTTTATTGTTTGGGGCCATATATTTTGAAGCTAGGTCTTCAGATATATCCACTGTGGTTAAAGAAAAGAAATGCTGGACATCTTCTGTTCGGGGCTTTCAACAATTGTGTAGATGCTGCTGGAAGCTTTTAATTAGGTGAAGAATGCTGGAGCGGAAGGAACGGGAGTTAGAAGTAGAGTCTCGGACGCAAGGACAACTGAAGTGGATAATAGCTATGTGAATCTTGTGTTCAGGAGGGGAAGGACCAAAGCTCTTTTTAAAAGGCTGTGAAATTGGACAAGGACTCCTATGGAGACAGCGTCGGTGAGGCTATGGTTCCTGAGGAGGCAAGTCAAGGGGATTGTGTAGAGGAGGATTTCAGAAAGAAGAATATCTGGGTGCCATGTGCTCCTAAGACATGTGGTAAAGAGAGAAGAGAGTTGGCCTTTGTATTTGGAAAGATAGTGGCTCTGGTTACTTTTCTTAAATGATCACAAAAACACATTAGTAGTGGACTGGAAATGGGACAGAAAAAAAAATGCCAGATCACAAAGGCAGGCCAGTTTTTCCAAAGTGTGTGTCATACTGAGGAGTAGCTCGGTAGAAACCATTTGAGACATTTGATGGATGTTGAAGTATGTTCCTTTGCTTTTGTGAATAATTTGG